CTGACCACCCGATCCCGTTAGTCGCTTTTTACGACAAGCATAGTCACCTTTTACGGCAAGCATGGGTTGCTGAAGACGTATTCTACCCCGGATTTTCACGGGTCCCATGTGAATACAAAGAAATATTGCTCATTTGGACAGATGTATTGCCAGGTTGATAGTCCAGTGTATGGTATACATGTACTTGTATGTTGATCATTGTTGTGAACACTTAAAATTATCCAATTAATGGAGATAGAGGATATCAAAGTTTCAACTCGATCCAGCACTTTAATATTGTCTTTAATTTCAAACTTCACAAATTCCATATAACATAATTCCATAAATTCAGTGAATATCCACACAATGATTGAATAATATATCACACATTCCAAGAATAAGACGCAATATAATGAACAGCACAGTTGCAGGATAAATGCAGGATAGTAACTTGTACCGTGGCTCGGACAGTGGCTCGGACAGTAGCTCGGACAGTAGCTCGGACAGGTTTAAAAAACGTATGTCCTCTATTCCCTTAACACAATCTTCTTACACTCTCTTAGAAACATGTCTTACTTCTTTCGTATCTTAAAACTCTCTGCTCTCTTGTGGGATGCTTATCGCGATTGATCAGATAACGACCTCTAAGACTCCACAAAAAAAACAATTAACTTTTAAGTCTTAGCTGCAACATTACACTATTGCTGTCACCAACCCCTGGGAAAATAGCCTGAAACGGCCACTGGCAGCAAGGGCTGGCTGTTTCTCATGTTTTATCTTATAACTATACTAAGCACATGCACCCATGTACACATACAAACCCTAACAAAGTTACAATTAAAAGGATTTTCAATGAACCACAAATACCTAAAATTCGGCTCTAACAATTGTATTATATCTGTTTACACATAAAAACGTACATGACTCCAGTCTTCACCTTCTTACTGTCTCGTGTAAATCAGGTCTGTGTCAACTGGTTTGATTTCCACGACCCTGAATCCGGCATCGCCTACTATGACATCCTCGTGCAGGACAACACAGGTACTCCCATAACGGAAGTGGTCAGTGTTGACCACAAGACGACCAAGACGTGTATAACGCTGCAACCTGAACGGCTTCTACAGCACCTTGAGAACTTTACCATCCACATCACCGCCTTCAACGCCGGCCACAGACAACAGAACATCTCGGCACAGTCGAATGGGGGTGAGTTTCTAAACTGTGACCACCAATCTAATTTTAGTATGACACTGACTGGATTAGCTTTATAGGCTGCAGATATCAGGCAGAAAACTCAACTAACAAATAGCATATTTACAGCCAGTCGTGTATGCCCAAATCATTAAGTTGATAACGGTTTCTTTTGAAGCGTGTGTGTTACGTGCAGTATGACCCTCGACCATCAGGGCAGATAATAGGTCTTCAGCAACCCATGCTTGCCGTAAAAGGCGAATACGCTTGTCGTAAGAGTCGACAAACGGGATCGGGTGGTCAGGCTCGTTGATTTGGTTGATGCATGTCATCGTGTCCCAATTGCATGGATCGATGCTCATGTCAGTCACTGGGTTGTCTTGTCCAGACTCGATTAATTACAGACCGTTATCTGGGGTACTGCGGCGTTAAACAACATACAAACACACAATTTCACCTCCAAACACACCAACGTCATTACAGAATTATATAGCCCCTCACTTAGGTTTTAACATAAGAACCAGCCATTGAATGTGATAGTGTCTAACAACGGTTTTCCATACATTCCAGTAATTGTTGACATGACACCGCCGACTCATGGCGACATCGTCGATGGTAGATCTCCAACGTTCAGAGACCTGAAGTTTAGCACCCACAAAGCGACTGTTGGGGCGGAATGGCGTGGTTTTTCTGACCCAGAGTCCAATCTCAGACAATACGCCGTGCAAATACTTCGGGCCAAGTGAGTGGACTTTTAGTGGCACCATTTATTTGGGTGGCATCGTTTGAATTCCATTACGATTGTTTTATGTTTTGTTCTTTGGAGATTTTCTTTGCTTGATACTGAAAGTTATTATTGTAACGCTGTTCATTGAACCAATTTGTGGGAATTCACAAACGCCGATCATTCAAAGAGTAGTACTGTAACCGAAATATATAATGTTAGTTGTGTCAACGTCATTGTCGTTGTCGTTGTCGTTGTCATTGTCATTGTCTTTGTCATTGTCTTTGTCGTTGTTGTTGTCATTATCTTTGACTTTGTCATTGTCATTGTCATTATCTTTGTCTTTGTCGTTGTCATTGTCATTGTCTTTGTCGTTGTCGTTGTCATTGTCGTTGTCATTATCATTGTCTTTGTCTTTGTCGTTGTCATAGTGTCAAGATAAGACACATATCAAATCAGTCTAAACGTGTTGTTACAATACTGTGGTATGGGACTGTGAAATCCATTTTTTAACTACAAACATATATATATTTTTTAATTAACATAAACTTGCCTTCGCATATATGTAACCCGTCCTACGCATTATTTTAGATGCGCCCATTGCCGTAAGGCATTTCAGTGCTACATAACAATATTATGTTGCCATATCATGCGTAATATCTAATAAACACACAGAAGGCATGGGGAACGCCATATTCAGTTAGGTGTGATCAGCATTAGAGTGATGAGTATGATTTTACGCCGCCTTCAGCAATATTCCTTCAAAATCACGGCGGGGCACACAGGAAATGGGATTCACACATTATATCATGTGGGGAATCGAACCTTGGTCTTAGGCGTGACGAGCGAACGCTTTCACCATTAGCTACCCCACCGCTCCAGCAACACGTATCGCAGTATATCGCGGTTATGTTTATGTTTAACATTGAACAATATCAATACTAAATATTTCCTTCACTATGCAATATTTCGAATAAAACCGTAATTGACCGGTAGTTATTTGATGTTTGTCATCAAGACAACAAATCATGCAGACCGTAGGGTGAGTTACTGCTTGCTGACTTTTTTCCTACATTACGGTTGCACTTGTTCTTGTACCAGGGACATGTCCTCAGAATTTGAGGTACTAAAGGACTGGAGGACACTGGACACGAACACCACCGAGTTCGAGTGGCACAACTTTCATCTCCGTCACCGTGACGTGGTCAAGACGAAGCTGCGGACCACGAACAACGCCCTAGCCTCCGCGGAGCAGACCACTGATGGGTTCGTGGTTGACCTCACTCCTCCAAGGATGACCTTTATTGGGGACGGAAGTGTGGCCAACGCGGACGCCGAGTACCAGGTACGTCGTGCTCCTCTGCAAGACGTTCCTCTGGGTTATACGCTGGGTTTGATTCGCTAGCACTACAAGGTGTCAGGAACCACCTCGTTAGTGACCGACCGTTTATTCCTTAAAACACTGGTACAAAGGATGAACACATCAAATATATGTTCTCATGACATTTTTAATGTCCTGAAAAAGCGTGTTTGAATAATTAGTTCAACTAAAAATAATTACATATTTCTATAAATTTCATAGAAAACCTCTCTGATGTTAGGGACCGACCATTTGATTCGATACCATTTGTGTGTGTGTATGTGCGTGCGTGCGTGCGTGCGTGCGTGCGTGCGTGCGTGTGTCAGGGAAGGGGGGGGGGGGGGGGGCGGGGTGGTGCTGGGATTTTGTTCCGGAGATACTTAATTAATTAAAATTTCGAGTCTTAATATGTTTTTAAGAAGAACACCTTGCAATAGTGTATTTTTTGCGGCAGGCGATTTCTTTTTGTAAACAGTCTGAAGCGTAATTGTTATTTCAGATTTTTCTGGGACAGTTTTGTTTTTTCGATAAAATCCCAGGCTGCCCTTCCTTCTTAAAAAAATTTAAACCGTTGTGTTATTGATGAGAACGTTGTTGTACTGGCTACTGATGATGTTGGCTTTTAGGAATCAGATGACAAGGTGGAAGCTGTCTTCAACTTCTTTGACAACGAGTCGGGTCTCGAACACTTCAAGTACCAGGTGTACGAGCTGCATGAGGGTTCGAGACATCAGATCCATCCACGTACGTCACCAGCTTGATTCCTTGCCCCCTGGGAATTCCGGGGTAGATTACTAAATCATCAGCTTAAGTGACTAAATGATTGTTGACAGTCAAAGAGCAGGGATATCGCTTGGGCGTTAACCAACAACCAGACACATTCACATGTCTCAGATATATAGACAGTTGAACTCCTATAATCCGGACGATATCGTAGCCTCTGAAAAACATCCAGAACAAAGCTTTGCATGGTTATATGTGCAACAACCCATGCTTGATGTAAAAGGCGACTGTGCTTGTCGTAAGATGCGACTGTCCGGATCGGGTGGTCAGGCTCGCTGACTTGGTTGATGCATGTCATCGTATCCCAATTGCGCGGATCGATGTTCATGACATCAATCACTGGATTGTCTGTTCCAGACTCGATTAATTACAGACCACCATCATATATAGCTGGAATATTGCTGAGTGCGGCGTCAAACAACAAACAAACAAGTCATATGTGCAGGGTGTCATAAGTTGTGTATCCAGACTAAGGGGGTCCACTTTACTACTACTACTACTACTACTACTACTACTACTACTACTACTACCAATACTACTACTAACTTGTTGACGGGGCGGTCGGGTAGCCTGGTGGTTAAATCGTTCGCTCGTCACGCCGAAGACCCGGGTTCGATTCCCGACATGGGTACAATGTGTGAAGCCCATTTCTGGTGTCCCCTGCCGTGATATTGCTGGAATATTGCTAAAAGCGGCGTAAAACCATACTCACTCACTCACTCACTAACTTGTTGAATCGTGTACATTTCAGCTGTAACATGTTTTATGCCCCTTACAAATCGTATGAACTGTATCCGGGAATTGTAGGCTTTGGTGAAGCCCTCTTTCTGCAGGTTTTCTATAACTACCTGAATCTAAACCATCACCATATTTCTTCCACCAGCTTCTGGGGGCTGGGAGCATATCCACAACTGGCACGCCACCAGCCTCAAGCAGCACGGCCTCACCCTGAAGGCGGGGGCCATGTACAGTGTGAGGGTGGGCGCGGTCAACAGGGCAGGGGCGGTCGCCACCTATGACACGAACGGGGTGTTGCTGGACAACACTAAGCCTGAGGTACGGAAGGAGATTTGTTTGTTTCCACCACGACTACATAATCCTCGTTGAGGACCGGTTCCATGTCCTAATCGGTGGTTCGATCCCAGGTCATACCTCTCTCTCTCTCTCTCTCTCTCTCTCTCTCTCTCTCTCTCTCTCTCTCTCCCTCTCTCTCTCTCTCTCTCTTATTTCAAATAATAAGTTTTGATGTACTTAGCTGAGTTTCGCTGTAGCTCTCATTCTCTTCATGTAGAAACCGGACATTATAAAACACCACGAGAGCAAAGTTTATACCACGTTATATCCGCGTAAACAGTATATAGCTTCAAAATAATATGTCTATCCTGCCCTCAAAGGTTCAATATACTCATGTCCTTGAACAAGGAACTCATTATAAGAAATGTCGCTGTATTTATATATTATGCGATGCAACATTCAAATTTTGACTTTTGTATACTTCTTTGTACTTGTATACTATATTGTATGTGGACACGGATTGTACCATTGGCCGATGTCCCGCATACATGTATTTGCACACTCGCTCATTCACTCTCACACACTCACTCTCACACACTCAGTAACTCACTCACTCACTCACTCACTCACTCACTCACTCACTTACTCACTCACTCACACAAGGATTGTGCCATGGGGCGATGTCCCGCATACATGTATTTGCACACTCGCTCATTCACTCACTCACTCACTCACTCACTCACTCACTCACTCACAAGGATTGTGCCATGGGGCGATGTCCCTTATACATGTACATGTATGTGCACTCACTCGCTTACTTCTACAAGGATTGTGCCATGGGCCGATGTCCCGCATATATGTACATGTACGTGCACACTCACTCACTCACGCATACAAGTCGTGACATATATACACTTATACTGAATATGAACCACAGTTTTCAAGGGTAGCACAATAACGACAATCATCCGCTTTCGTTGTGACTCCGTGAAACACAACTCTGCCAAACCCTTACTACACTATGCAGTGAACCCCCAACCTGACTCTGTTCCAGATGCACTGGGTGTACGTGGGAATATTTGCCGGAAGTGACGAAGACTTCATTGACGGTTATGTCATACAGTCTGACCCAGCAGGTATCAAAGCCACGTGGCTCGGTGATGACACAGAGAGCGGTATAGCGGGGTACCACGTGGCCGTTGGCACCACAGCAGGTAACACAGTAATACATACTCACGCGTTATTAAGCATACGAATAATATAATAAGGTCTCATTTATTTTCCTAATTGGTTTTAATTTGGCATGCAGAAAATAAGTAAAATGTTAAATCTTGTAACAGGCACAAGAGGTGAGGTGAGGTGAAATTGAGTTTAACGTCGCGTCCAAGATTATTGCACTTATATAGCGACGTGCATGCACGTGTATGTGTGTGTGTGTGGCTGCTTGTACTAGTCCGGACTGATGCCGATTTATAGTGCTAGCTCACTGAGATACCATGCCGCAGTTTAACATGAATACCCCACTCAGACAAAGTATACTGACTCCGAGCCGACCAGTCCTTGTTTTAGCCCCTTAATGCCGAGCGCCAGACAGGGTAACAACAAGTACAATCTTTTAACGTCTTTTTGTATGACGCGGCCCGGGATCGAACCCTGGACCTTCCGCTCTCCGGGCGGACGCTCTACCACAAGACCACGGAGGCGGTCAACAGGCACAAGACAGGCTGTATGTGTTAAAAGATAGGAAACTGGATATGTAATTTTTTGGTTTGTTGTTTAACGCCGCACTCAGCAATATTCCAGCTATGTGACGGCGGGCTGTAAATAATCGAGTCTGGACCAGACAATCCAGTGATTAATATCATGAGCATCGATCCACGAAATTGGGATCGATGACATGCTTCAACCAAGTCAGCGAGCCTGACCACCCGATCCCGTTAGTCGCCTTTTATGTCAAGCATAGTCACCTTTTACGACAAGCATGGGTTGCTGAAGACCTATTCTACCCCGGAATCTTCACGGGTCAAGTGGATATGTGGTGAGATGATTAACAAGAGTACAAGTTTTATGTCTGATACATGTATGTTTACCTGATTATCGAGAATAAACACATACACATTACTATTTGGCATTTAGTCAGATGTTATACCCACCATACCTTTGATAATTAATAACAGGACGTACTTAGCAATCCTACCAAATGTGGTATCGCCAGAAAATTAAATATGTGACACCCCTTTGCATTTTGAAAGTAGACACGTTCTGGAAGACACATGAAGTAAATGAACGGATTTACAATAGTATCTCAGTTATAAATCGTGAAATAAGTGAAAGGAGATTGAAGACATGGTCTACTTTATTGTGAGTGAGTGAGTTGGGTTTAACGCCGCTTTTAATGGTATTCCTTTTATATCACAGCGTGTCAGCTTAATGTGGGAGGAAATCCCGAAGTGATGCAGGTCTCAGACGTTTACCACTTCGGTAAAACCCACGATCATGGTGCTCACAAACCTAGAAACATAATCGGGGCGACCGGGATTCGAACCCACAATCATAGATTTCTGGCGTGCCCAAGGGACCGACTCTGCCCAACGAATTGCGGCGCCTTAGACGCCCGGGCCACTCGTGCCCCCTAGGTCTAACCTGCAGTCATTAAACATCTGCTTACAGAGAGCAACGATATCCTGGACTGGACAGATGTTGGTCCTGACAAAGACAAGTATATATCCGGCTTGACCCTCAACATCACTGACCCGGTCACCTTGACCCCTGTGTATTACGTGAAGGTCATGGCCCGTAATGGCGCCGGGATGCACAGCGCCATAATGACGTCACATCCAATCAGAGTCGTTGATCAAGACAAACCAGGTACCAGATTGTACAACCATTGCATTGAGATTAATCAGGTAGAACTCCACTTTTAACATACTTCTGCGCACAAGTATATAGGTAACTGGGAGAACACTCCACAGGACTGCATTCAGGAAGATTTAAAGACTTGTCTTTATATTATTCTTTGATGCTTGGAAAAACACTCTGAACAGAAGTCCTAAATGCACTAAAAACAACTTTTATCTTCAATAGAAATATCTTTTCGTGGCCTGAAAGTTCCTAGCTGAAGCTGGTGTACATTATTAACCGATGCGATATTGGATAGTTAAGAGTATTCACACAAAGTCTTTTCCAATTCTCCCATCTTTATGCGTACGTTTAAAAATATGAGTGAATCTATTGTTTTCTTAAATTTTTCTCACACTTGAGTTTCCTGAAGCAGACTTCTTTATTTTACAAAAAAATATTTCCGCGCTGAGAGAGTGAGTGAGTATGGTTTGACGCCTCTTTTAGCAATATTCCAGCAATATCACTGCGGGGGACACAAGAAATGGGCTTCACACAATGTCCCTATGTCTGGAATCGAACCCGGGTCTTCAGTGTGACGAGCGAGCTCTTTAACCACTAGGCTACCCGACCGCCCTTGCGCTGAGAGAGAGAGAGAGCTGTGTTTGTTTGTCAAGCATATTAAACTGGGGAGAATAATCTGCACTAAAGGCAGCCAGATGTATTGATAGAGCTGCAATAGTTTCGGGGTTTTTTCGAAAACAATTTCATTCACCAATATCCATCACATTCAGGTATTGTCATCGACGGTGCCGCCGCTACAGAACGCGTGGACTACATTGGTGTTGGCGAAGACAGTGACTACCAGAAAGACGCGGGAGTTGTGACGGTACAGTTTGCCGGCTTCGAGAGTCATGAACACGGTGTCACGTACTTCGACTGGGCTGTAGGCACGACACCTGGTGGCGAGGAGGTGCAACCTTTCATCATGGGGGGCCTCATTCACGAGGAGTCGGAGTCGGATGTCCCTGGGAATGGTTAGTAGGACTCAGTTTACAATGGAGGACTCACACTATACATCAAGTCAAGGAATGACACAACCTGCAGGTGTCGGTTGTGCCGAGGCAAGGGAGTTAACTGACTATAAAAGTCCAGTTTCCACCCTTGCCGAACTTGGCTTGACATAATGGGGTTACATTTTGGCCTGACGAACCAGTCTATACATAGTCCAATCAAAATCGCAGATTTTGGTCGTTTGCAGGATTTGCAAAGCACGTGTACCGTCAACTTAGTGTCAAGAAATATTTTCCAAATCTTTTCACGTTGTCAATAAACGTGCTCACATGATTTGATATACTTCCCTAAGTGAGACCCGTTTTATCACTATATAGATGTTGATTATCGATCAGATCGTGTTCACTGGTGAAGAGGACGGACAGAGAAGGGACATAACTCGTAATAGCCACTTGTGGCGCTACGATCAAACCAATACATTTCGGCCTAACTCGGCAAGGGTGGAAACTGGACTTTTACAGTCAGTTAACTCCCTTGCCTCGGAAGGTTGTGCTTACAAGAGGTAGATTAACGTACAATGAACAAGCCCCTGTGGCAAGTACCACCTGTGGGTCTGATTACGCCCACATTTTCGGAAACGCGTGATATCATCACTATTTAAAAGTAAAAAATGTTATATTTGGGATAACACTTTTTGAGTAAAGGTCAGATTCTCGTACTTTTTTTAGTTGAGTCCCGTCCGGGATTCGAACTCACACTGACAGAGTGAGGCACCTTTTCGCCAGCACACAAAGTCAGCGATCTAACCCACTGAGCCACCGAGGCTTCCACAAATATCGTTTTTATTTTATGTAATAAATGTAATTCATAGCATTGTAATTAATGACCCATGTGTTGCGGCAGGTTTGGCCAGCACGGGGTTCGGCCAGGCGGTCCTTCCTCTGGAATCGGGTGTGAAGTACTACACCACTGTCCGCGGTATAACGAACGGAGGAAACATTCTAGAATCTACATCGGATGGATTCATGGTTGACCAAACTCCGCCCACAATACAATTAGAAAGGTGGCGTACGTTTTGTTATTCTAGAGTTACAGTTTCAAAATATATCTGCCAATGAACAATGTATGATTATTGGACGACGAATAAGGGGGATTGTACTATGCATTGCAAGCAATCTAGTGTGGGGCGGGGGCGGGGGTGGGGGTGGGGCAGTAACAATGTTAACAGTCCGTACATGTATGAGATAGGCACCTACCCCTGTGTTCTTCCTAGACTAAGGGGCGGTCGGGTAGCCTAGTGGTTAAAGCGTTCGCTCGTCCCGCCGAAGACCTGGGTTCGATTCCCGACATGGGTACAATGTGTGAAGCCCATTACTTGTGTCCCCCGCCGTGATATTGCTGGAATATTGCTAAAAGCGGCGTAAAACCATACTCACTCACTCACTCACTCGCTCCTAGACTAAGTTAGTTACCATGTTAGGCTCGGTATTACCGCTTCTACTAATCGCGTTACCATTTTCCATGATCTGCAGTGCGGTTTCTCCTCGACATACTATTCATGGCACCAAAGTCCAACCCTCGTCCCATTTTTATACTACAGGTCCACGGTGCCAGGTACTTGTTCAAAGAGTAGTCTTGTATCACTGGTTTCTTTGATAGGTAAATAGAAGATGGAGTACTAAGGAAGGATAAGAATTTATGGATGAACAACTTCTTTATTACAATTAAGGTTCTAACACCTACTTGCTTGATAACGGTGTTAGATCCTACACCGAAACGTCGCTCTTAATTGTAATAAAGAAGTTGTTTCATCCATAAATTCCTATCCTTACTTATCACTGGTTTGTTTTGGTCCAAACTCAAGTATGCAAAGGTCACCTTTGTGTTGCTGGAATTTTTCTGTCTGCGACTGGAAACAAAACATGTACCCATTCACGCGCATTGACAGTTATCTGTATGGGGTACCAAGGTCACATCGACCCAGGAATTCACAGAGAGGGTTTATCCCACCCCACCCCACCCCACCCCACCCCACCCCACCCCACCCCACCCCCATGGTCGAACCCTGCCTCCTACTTTCAACTCTTTCAGCAGCTTCGCCCTGGAGGAAAATCTCACTCAGCTTCTACCGGGAGCAGCCTTGTACCAGTCAGAGGTGGACTCGCTGTCGTCAGCCTGGAAGGTCAAGGACACCGACTGTCCAATCAAGAAAGTCTATTTCTCCGTCGGGACGTACCCATACGCCGCCGATGTCTACAACGTGACTGAGATACAGTCTTTAACTGGGGATGGGACGCTCCCCACTGGAATAAAACCTACGGCTGATGGTAGGATTCTAACATGAATGATATTTATGGTTGCTATTTACGTGTTCCTTAAGGATTACCTGTTCTTTGCTGGAGTGGGACGGCTGTGATCGTTTTCGGGTTTGTATTTTGTGGTATTGATATGTTTTAGGAAGACCCAACATCCTCACCATAACAGCTGAAAATGAAGTTGGGCTGTCAACGAGGATTATCTCCCCTTCCCTTATTGTTGACGTAACCCCGCCGACAGAGGGCGTGGTGAAGTGTCCGGCATTTATTCAGGTAAACCCAAAAGTGTATCCTCAGCACAATAACAATTGCAGGTTAATACGAATTTGGATTTGCATCAATAAGTGATTCTGGAGTAGATTCGGGCTTACTCAGGAATGCATGTAGATTACTCCTGTACGTAAACATGTGCAATGGTGGTCAGGCTCGCTGATTTTGTTGTATGTCATCGCATCCCAATTGCGTGGATCGATGCTCACGATATTAATCACTGGATTGTCTGGTCCAGACTCAATTATTTACAAACCGCCGTCATATAGCTGGAATATTGCTGAGTGCGGCGTAAAACAACAAACAAACAAACAAATGCTATGGTAATGAGGTGAGGTGAGGTGAAATTGGGTTTAACGTCGCGTCCAAGATTATTGCACTTATATAGCGACGTGCATGTACGTGTGTGTGTTTGTGTGGCTGCTTGTACTAGTCCGGACTGATGCCGATTTATAGTGCTAGCCCACTGAGATACCATGCCGCAGTTTAGCATTAATACCCCACTCAGACACAGTATACTGACTCCGAGCCGACCATTCCTTATTATAGCCCCTTAATGCCGAGCGCCAGACAGGGTAACAACAAGTACAATCTTTTAACGTCTTTTTGTATGACGCGGCCCGGGATCGAACCCTGGACCTTCCGCTCTCCGGGCGGACGCTCTACCACAAGACCACGGAGGCGGTCGCTATGGTAATGACCTGGAAGAGGTATCATCGTAACATTCTGACCTTAAAAACTCCATGTCCTTGGGACAATCGAAAACATATGGAATTATATATTGTTGGAGACACAATGACCGACAACAATAGGCCTCCGTGATCCCGTGGCGATAGCATCTACCCGGAGTCGATGAACGGTCCTAGTGAAAACGTTAAAATATGGTACTTGTTGATATCATGCCTTGCACTCGGCATTAAATGGATAAAACTAGGCCGGTTGGTGTACTGTGTCTGAGTGGGGAGTTGGGTTTAACGCCGCTTTTAACATTATTCCAGTTATATCACAGCGTGTCAGCTTAATGTGGGAGAAAAGCCCGAAGTGATGCAGGTCTAAGACGTTTACCACTTCGGTGAAACCCACGAGGACGGGTATGGTGCTGACAAATCTAGAAACATAATCGGGGCGAACCGGGATTCGAACCCACAATCATAGGTTTCTGGCGTGCCCAAGGGACGCAACCCTGCACAGCGAATCACGGCGCCTTAGACGACTGGGCCACCCGTGCCCCCGTAGTCGGGACTAGTACAAGGAGACAGAGACACGCAATATTAGTGCAATAACCATGAACGCGGCGTCAAACCCCATTTCACTGCGCCTGTATACTTGGCGTAAGAGGCAACTAACATGATCAGGTGGTCAGGTACGCTGACTTGCTTGATGCATGTCATCGTATCTCAACTGAGCGGATCGAAGCTCATGATGTCAATCACTTGATTGTCTCGGTTTATTTACAGACCGCCGTCATATAGCTGGAATATTGCTGAGTGCGGCGTTAAACACCAAACACACCAAAAAAACGTCGCTTGCAGTCTGTTAGGCTTGTATTTGGAAAACGTTGAGAGCCTTGAAACTGCAGGGTGTTCGTTGGATGTGTTTCCTCCAACTTCATACCCCTTGTATCGGGACACTGGCTGCGAGTGACGTATGATCAAGAATGATTTTTTTTAGCCACTGTCACATGGGGAGTGTACATGGACCGGTTTCCATGACGACGAAAGTGCAATAGAGTCCTTTGAGTTCTCCATGGGGTCTGAAGAAGGTCTGGAGGACGTGATCCCTCCCGTGTCGCTGCCGGTACACACAAAGAAGTTCCTCATACAAGGCAAGTCAACACCCTATATTCACTGCCACACTTCCTTCCCGTATTCGACCCGTGAAGATTCCGGGGTAGAATAGGTCTTCAGCAACCAGTGCTTGCCGTTAAAGGCGACTATGCGTGTCGTAAAAGGCGACTAACGTGATCGGGTGGTCAGGCTCGCTGACTTGGTTGATGCATGTCATCGATCCCAATTGGGTGGATCGATGCTCATGATATCAATCACTGGATTGTCTGGTCCAGACTCGATTCTTTACAGACCGCCGTCATATAGCTGGAATATTGCTGGAGTGCGGCGTTAAACAACAAACCAACCAACCAACCAACCTTCGCGTATTCTGCTATGAAGCAATTGTCTAAATGATATTAAAGGTATGACTTTGTATTTTTTCGGTTCATTGAGGTATGAATCAAAAACCGATATGCAAACTGTATGAATCCGCTACGCGGATTCTTACAAAAGTTTCCACATAGGAAAAATGCTAGTTAGAAATTAAACCCGAAGACATGAAAGTTGTGGAACCGAGGCGAGCGGGGGAAAAACCAGTCGAGCGAGCCTGCACGTTTGCGGTTTCATTCCCTCTCGGCTTTCGATCTCAAAGGGTCGTTTGGACAATGAATATGCATGAATTTCGCTAAATGCCTTGTGCATGACGATTCACGTGAGCAGAAAGGGAATTCCCTCGACTGTAATATAGGGATTCCCCGACATTCCGTAGTTCGGTGGGCGTGGCTTAATTATTTACATTCATTGTGAAATGAATACAAAAACACGTGACAAAATTCAGCTAATCAGAATGCAGGAATTTAAATGAACACAAGGAAAATTTAATTATATCAGTATGTTATTACCCCCTGCCACTGCTCTCACGAAGAGGAGAGGTTGGCGTACGTGTATTGATTATCATCCCCCGCCTCGAAGTGGAAGGGAGATATAGCAATTTGTGCTGACGTTCCGTCTTTCCGTCTGTCCGTCCGTCACGTTTCGTTTCCGGAGCAGAACCCGGCACATAGATAGTTCTAGTGGTAAACTGGTGCATTTGCTAGTTTGGGATTTTTTAAAATTTATTTTCCGAGTTTCCATGGCAATGACTTTGATTTATACTGAAATGCGCGGTAGTGCTCCATTCCGGAGCAGATCTTTGAAACCGTTCAACATTTCTTAACCAAACTTGGCACATAGATAGGTCACGTAGTTAACTGGTGCCTTTTGATTGTTTGATATTTTTGGACAAAAATATTTTCGAGTTTCCATGGCAACGACTTTGACTGAAAACGACAATAGTGCTCGTTTCTGGAGGGCTAATTATAATGCCTTACACAGAACCGGACATGTCATATTGGGTGGGGATATGTGTATTTCTGTATAGGATAAAACACGTCCGAGGGTTGTTATGATATTTAAAACCCGCATCCCGAGGGATTTTCCGAGGGAAAGGGTTTTAAATATGTAAACAACCCGAGGGGAAGTGTTTTATCTTACTTATAAACTGATTTTGAACCTTAAAATTATCCCCAAACTAAATTTCAACCCATTATAAGTGTACAATAAAGCACATCCAAGGGTTCTTATCACATTTAAAGCACGCATCCCAAGGATAACGGTTTTAGATATCGTAAAAACCCGAGGGGATGTGTTTTATCTAACTTATGAACCGAAAAAAGAAACTTAAAACAACATTTATCAACATTTTTATGTTTCGAACATACTTTCCATGAACCTTAGGAAACGGGCGTAGAATATCTGTTGCTGGCGTACGGTGAGTGAGTGAGTGAGTGAGTTGGATTTAACGCCGCTTTTAACAGTATTCCAGTTATATCACGGCGTGTCAGCTTAACGTGGGAGGAAAGCCCGAAGTGATGCAGGTTTCAGACGTTTACCACTTCGGTGAAAGCCACGAGCACGGGTATGGTGCTGACAAACCTAGAAACATAATCGGGGCGAACCGGGATTCGAACCCACAATCATAGGTTTCTGGCGTGCCCAAGGGACGCAACTCTGCACAGCGAATCGCGGCGCCTTAGACGACTGGGCCACCCGTGCCCCCTGCTGGCGTACGGATCTTGAAAAGGACATTCTAAAAAGCAGCACGGCTTATCAACACCTCTGTAGCCTCGTGGTACATTCCCTGGGCTATAGATATGAAGGTTGCGAGTTAGATCCTCGGGGAATATAAAGAAAACATTTGTCATTTGATTTTACATTTCATTACATGTTAAAATCTGAACGTAAGTTATATTAATAAAATACCCAGGACATTATATAAAATCCCTGGGATACTATAACACATTATATTTTATATAGCAAAAATGACTTGAATATCCTATAAAATCCCAGGGATATTATATAAAATCCCAGGGAGGAGGGTGGGAGTGTTTTGCTGGGTTGTTCTTTGAGTGAACCACCAGTCAGCACTATTACAGTTTTAAAGGGTGTTAGGAGCTGGTTTATTATATCCCAAAGAAAGAACTTTTGTATGATGATTAATTATTTCTTTCGGGCTTTTCTGATCCAGCATGATATTCGGGCCTTTTTAAGCTACTGAAAAGCATGGTGGTACTGTGCAATAAGAGATTGAGAATCGTGAACTTGATGATAACGTCATTTATATGTTCGTTTACAGTTTTCGCTATCACAAGCTTTCTTTCATTTTCCAGGTTTTTAAAAAAAATATGCTGGACTTTCTCTTTAAATGCTAAGCTTTCTTCAAAATCCAAATTGTTGTAATTCATAATGACAGGTTTTGTATTAAAAATCTAGGTTTTCTTTTAAAATGCTAATCTTTCTTTCTAATATTCTTGCTAATATTTGTTGGAATTCATAATCACACGCGTTCTTTCAAAATGTAATTTCTACTTGGTGGAAGAACTGCCCTTGTGTTTTACTAAAGCGTATGTTGAACATCTATTTCAGGGCTGTCGGAAAGTATGTCCCATGGCCAGTCGTACTATGCCAGCGTCAAGGCTATCAACAGTGTCGGTAAAACAGCCAGCGTGGTCTCCAAGCCGATCAGCGTCGATACAACACCTCCCAAACCTGGCACTGTCGTGGAGCTGAAGTCGGCCTATCTAGTCAATGTGTCAGACCCTATTGCATCTGAGAAACTCAACGTCATCAAATGCGACACCAGGGAAGGTATGTGAAGCTGCCTTTAGCCATAGTAAGGTGTTTGCTAACTACACACATACAGGGACAAATGAGAGCGTTTTGGTACTGTGATCGCAACTGACATGAACCATGTTTTTTAGGCGTTCAGCTGAAGTATTGTAAACAAACAAAATGTGTAGTGTTTCTCAGGGAAGTTTCAGTAGTCTTTGTGTTGTTCTGATAAAAGCAACAAAACCCTTTCCAAAATCTTAAGAAATCTCTGCAGAGTTCAGTTGGCACCCGTCACAAACACACGCAAAGGCAAAGCAAGTCTACGGGAATATATGGTCCAAGTCAAAATAGGGACATCATTGTGTTTACTGATGGTCACTAAATGCATGCTATGCATGATTCTACGTGTAGCACTGATTAAAGTATGAATTGAACAAGGTACTTCCAAAATGTAACAACGATCATTAATTTATTCCAGAATGTCTGCAAATTAAGGCAACATGTCAGGAATCATTGACAGGAGTGGGCGTGGCATGGGAGGCCTTCCGCGATGACCAGACTGGCATTGCCAAGTAAGCTATGTGTACTTAAATACAAACTGCGCAAATCGCCCTTTCTGGCAGGTTTCATGATAGGTGAGGTGAAATGGGTTTAACGTCGCGTCCAAGGTTATTGCCCTTAATAACGTGAATGCCGATTTTATTGTGCTAACCCACTGAAATTCAATGCCAGTTTAAAATGCATTACCCACACCGACACAGTATACTGACTCCAAGCCGACCAGTCCTTGTTTTATCCCCTTAATGCCGAGCGCCAGGTAGGGAAACAACAAGTACCATCTTTTAACGTCTTTTGGTATGACGCGGCCGGGGATCGAACCGCGCGGACGCTCTACCACTAGACCATGGAGGCGGTCGTTTCTTGACAGCATAAGTGAGGTGGTAAATGAACTATTCCGCCGCACTCAGCAAAAACACAGTGACCAAGGCTAATTGAGCCAGGACCAGACTAATCAGACGTCGGTAGCGACGTTAACGATCCACACCATCGGGATACATTTATTAATTTACGATTTTCTATTTCCCTAGCACATGCAAGGTTATTAACATTCCGTTCGAGCGCAGTGGTCCGGGTACATGTATACAAGACACGCAGCCCGTCTCAGGGCAAAATGCCTTCAGTCATCTACATCATGCCATCGACTGACGCGGAACCCACTTAACAGGAACGTTGACCAACACAAATTTTGACGGCCGTATTTCGAACATTCATACTTCTTTATCGACGTTTTTAATCATTTGAACTCAGAGCTTTTATCTTTGTTTACTTTAACACATGGCCCGTGAAGATCCGGGGAAGAAGAGGTCTTCAGCAACCCATGCTTGCCGTTAAAGGCGACTCTGCTTGTCGTAAGAGGCGACTAACGGGATCGGGGGGTCAGGGTCGCTGACTTGGTTGATGCATGTCATCGATCCTATTTGGGTGGATAAATGCTCATGATGTCAATCACTTGATTGTTTGGTCCAGGCTCGATTATTTACAGACCGCCGTCATATAGCTGGAATATTGCTGCGTGCGGCGTTAAACAACAACAACATCAACAACAACAACAAAAACAAAACTTTAACACATAGCTAGACCAGCCGAAACAAAAGGACACCTTTGTCCGGACAATTACACAAAACGATAAAAAGATATATACAATGGACTGCTTCGGTTCGATTCCCCCGCACGTACGAACCAATGTCTGGCGTATATTGATGCGATATTGCTGGAGTAAAGCAGCGTAAAGTCACACTCACTCACTCACTCCACATGTGTGCATATTGCAGATACGAGATAGCAGTGGGCACGACCCCAGGGGGAGGTGAGCTGAAGTCTCTGTTTGAGGTGGACAACGTTGACCAGAGGCACACCTACGTCACAGGCCTCCTGCTGAAGGGACAGAGAAAGGTACAGCACTCTCATGAAGAGGAGAGCTTGTCATTATACCCCGCCACGAATTGGGAGGGGGAAATAGGGACGGGTGCTGTCCATCTGTCCTGTCCGTCCGTCCGTCACGTTTCATTTCCAGAGCAGAAATGAAAAAAATATGAGAGATATCCTAACCAAACGTGGTATTTTGATAGGTCTTGTTGTGAACTGGTGCCTTTTGACAGTTTGGGATTTACCTTTCGAGTTTCCACAGCAACGACTTTGACTTGGACTGAAAATGGCGGTAGTTCTTCTTTCCGGAGCAGATCTTGAAAATCGTACAATATGTATTCACCAAACTAAGCACATTGATAGGTATAGTAGTAAACTGGTGCCTTTTGATAGTTTGGGATATTTGAAATAAATATTTTCAAGTTTCCATAGCAACATGGACATGTCATATTGGCGGGTGTATTTCATGCTTGTTTTGAAAGTTTGGGGTGGGGTGGGGGGTGGGGTGGGGTGGGGTACTTTCCATGCATATGTCTCCAGCCTGGTAGCATAATTTTGCTTGTTGTCGATCTCTACCTCTAATTGTAGTTTATGTTGTTTTACGAAAAACGTATAAAAACAGCGAAACATCACTGAAGTCAACTTACTGTTCAAATGATGATCAATTTTTGACGTCATGAATAATCTTTCTAAAAAAGGAATCAATGTGTCGCTATATCACTTCATAATCACTTAATCGGCGTTAAGAATCCCCAAAATCGTTCTGGTTAATTTCATGTCCTTCGTTTGAAGATTTTACTCAAAGTAACTGCATTACATGTTCCAGTCACAGTATAATTGAAATACGTCCGATGTGACTAGATTTGCACTCACCCTTCACAGCTCCTATTCTTGTATGTGTCATATTACACACACAGCTTCTGCACATAATGTACCTTTCCAGATCTACGTGACAGTCAAGGCAACCAATGGAGCGGGTCTCAGCACCATCTCGATATCCCCCGGCATCTACATGTCGTACCTCAGTCGGGGTCTCCCGCCCCTTACCCACGTGGGCGTCATGGACGGCGAGAGTCAACATGGTGATATGTACGTGCACATCGACACACCCACATAACTAATCAGCTTAAAACTAGGAATGGAGTAGACAGAGGGGCGGTCGGGTAGCCTACCGGTTAAAGCGTTCGCTCGTCACGCCGAAAACCCTGGTTCGATTCCCCATATGGGTACATGAAGCCCATTTATGGTGTCCCCCGCCATGATATTGCTAAAAGCGGCTTAACACCATACTCACCCGCCCACTGACAGTCTGATCTTGGGGTTTATAAAATATTAAATGAAAGAACGATAACACCATGGGAAGATATTTCTGAAAAAAAATTTAGATGAACATAATCTTACATATTGAAAGACTATGAAACGGTGTCATTACCATCTCATCCACAAGGGGGCGTTCGGGTAGCCTAGTGGTTAAAGCGTTCGCTCGTCACGCCGAAGACCCGGGTTCGATTCCCGACATGGGTTCAATGTATGAAGCCCATTTCTGGTGTCCCCCGCCGTGATTGTGCTGGAATATTGCTAAAAGCGGCGTAAAACCATACTCACTCACTCATCAACAAGGGCAACCTTTCACTGCTTAACATTGGACTTGTGACATAGTCGCTGAACATATGGCCACGTGTCATATATTGCAACTATGATATTCATGAATACCTTGCGTCTCAGATCATTGAAACATCTTGTTAATTACAAGGAATCTCAGTATACTATATGCTGGTTACAGGGACTACCAGACCAGTATGTCGTCAATGTATGCCCAGTGGGATGTGTCAGGTGACCCCTGTCCAGTGGTGAAGTACGAGTGGGCGATACAGAGGGCAGATGGACTCGTTGTACAGGACTTCGTGGACACCGAAGGTACGATTCACAGACATTCGGCCTTTCGTTAAATACATCTTCCCGAGGCAAGTGATTTAACTGACTTAAAAAGTCCAGTTTCCACCCTTGCCGAACTCGGCTGGTATTATGGCTGGACTGACGTGTCTATGCATAGTCCAATCAAAATCGCGCACCGAAATCGAAATCCGGTTCGTAAAGTGTCATGCTGATTTCGGGCGACTACAGGATTTGCAAAGCATGTGCACCACTAACTCGTTGTCTACAGATATTTTCTAAATCTTTTCATGTTTTTAATCAAGGTGCTCACATGATTTGATGCACTTCGCTATGTAAGACTCGTTTTATCACAATATAGATCTTGATTAACTGGACGTTTTAAGTCAGTTAAGTCTCTTGCCTCGGGAAGATGGTTAAATATGGCACTGGAGTTCACAAGCTTGTGAACGACTCATTTGGACGCTCATTCGTTTATCGTAGCCTGTGGTACAGAAATGACGCAAACACTACCGGACTACTTCCACATTCCTCGGAAACTCCTGTGTTCCTTAACGTGAATAACAACAGAATAATTGAAATGTTCACTTAGATTCCTTCGCCGGAAGATCATGGTGTTTTGCATACATCGGCAACTGTCATTGGGTTCAGTTGAATGTCTCTACGACCCATCCCAGTAAACTTAAAAAATGAAGTGCTCAATCGTATATAAAACAGTCGTATATTGTGAATGATTGAGTTTGGTTTAACGCCTCTTTGAACGGTACACCAATTGCACCATGGCATACAATAAGGGACAAACGTCCGTAGTGATGCATGTAACAATCGTTTATCACTTTGGTGAAACCCACGAGCACAGGTATGGTTCTGACAAACCAAGGAGCATAATTAAGGAGAAACGGGCTTATAATCCAGGATTATAGGTCTCTGGAGTACCCGAAGAACGCAACCCTGCCCAAAGAATTGTGGCGCCTTGGACGACTGGCCATGGGCAACCCTATAGTCATATATGGATACATATGTTACGGGGTTTTTTTGGGGTTTTTTTGTTGGTTTTTTGTTGTTGTTGTTTTTTTGCGGGGGAGGGGAGGGAGACGACGATTTCGAATTAAGATGATCACAATCACGGGAGTGGACCGTTTTTAATGTATAAAACTTCAAGAAAACTTGAAAAATATTTTTTGGCCATCAGGTATTGCCGCCATAAACTTTATCTGTTCACCAGGTGTCCAGGTAAAATTGTTTTTCTCTGTCATTCGGTGTTCAGTAAACATACTAGCTCTCCACCCTCCGCTCCCACATATTGACGGTCTCTATGAGTCATTTCTTATGTTGGAATTGTATGTATTTCCAGGTCGCACATTCGGCGTCAATGATCAGCTGACCATGAAGAACAAGCAGAGATTCTATCAGCTTCTGAGAGTAACCAATGCTCTTGGCTTCACGTACACACTGAAGTCCAACGGTATCACAGTGAGGGATGACCCGCTTGTTCCCGGAGAGGTCAACGATGGAGACGTCATCGGGTTTGACCTCCAGTTCCTGAGGACGACGACCAAGGTCAGCGCCAACTGGGGAATGTTTGGCAGTGACGGCAACGCTGGAGAGGAGTCTACCGTCCTGGAAGCCGGTGCGTCAACTGCTGCCTAGGTTGTAATGATTAAGTGATTAGGAGTCGGGGTAGAAATCACTGTGAACAGTTTTTTGGTTGAATTACAGCATATCGGCTCAATGTTGGAGGAAATCCCAAGGTTACGTTTACCAATGAATAAATCTTTTGCTGACAGACCAAGAATCATATAATAGGATCCTGATTCTTAAAAAAGCATTTCTCAAGGAAGGACATTTTGTGTTGTGCCTTCTTCAGGAATATTCCAGCAAAGCTGACGATCGTATGTTTTAGAAATATATACTCAAACTTATTTTATTTTATTTTATTTTATTTTATTTTATGTTATTTTATGTTATTTTATTTTTTTTTTTATTATTTTTTTTTATATTTTATTAATTTTTTTTTTTAATTTTTTTTTATTATTTTTTTTTTTATTATCTTTTTTATTTTGTTTTGTTTTGTTTTGTTTTGTATTGGTTTGGTTTGGTTTGGTTTTTTTGTTTTGGTTCATTTCGAACCCACCGAGGTTTCTTTCGGAGAATATGGACACTCCCCAACACTGCAGCCTTCTGCATTTCCGAGATTGTCAGAAGGGCTGTACAGCAAACCCGGGTACTCTCCCAGTGTCAGTCAACAGATTGGGATGTACCAAAACCTAAGGCACCGAGAACAATGGGGAGTCGGACAACTTGGTACTTGGGATGCAAGCGAGACATTTCGGTAGCGAGGTCTGCGTATTGGCCATGTTTTTCCCGAATCTTGTCAATCAAATTAGTGTCAAAAGGGTCAGAATATTCAATAATGTCAATGATTTCATTTGATTTATCAAAACGGATGAGATCAGGTTTGTTGGCCAGTGATACGTCTGAGGCTGTATACGGGCCTAGTCCAAAGAATTTTGTATTTATCTTTTTCCATCACGCCCTCACATATTCTAGGTCATACCATGGATGACCTCTGTGTCAAAAACACAAGCATGGCGAAGACGGTAATAAAATGATCGAGCTACACCATCATGTCGCTTAAGATACTGTATTTGTGCCAAAACTGGGCATTCACTGACAATGTGTTAGACAGTCTCATTAAATCATTACATAATCTACATTTCATATTTACATTTTGATGCAAAAATGGCGGGTTCGAGTGGGAATTGACTGGTCCTGAGGAGTAAACAGAAATCTTTCTGTTTCACTTTTCAGGCCAGCCGACCACATCCAAGCGAAGGACTCTGAAGGGTTGCTGACTTTCTCAACACACTGCACATAAACTTGATGCAGTGGTCGTTCAAAAAGCCTCTCCTTAAAACACTGAGTCTAGGCCGACTTGATATTGCACTTAGCTTGGTTGACACTCATTTCTGTACCGTCAAGCAGTACAGAACCATCAACGAAATCAACACTGGCATTGACATTATTATTATTATTATTATTATTATTATTATTTGTTGTAGCAGTAGTAGTAATAGTAGTAGTGCCTATGGCATTGACTAAACCGCCATGTATTTCATGCCGTTACAGATGGCGTCGCCCCCAGCATGGACAGGAACCAGGCATCAAACCAGGAAGTGGTGTTTTATGAAGTAGCATTAGGAACAGATCGACGTTTCGCCAAGACACGTGACAACGTCGTGCCCTTCACAAACGTTGGCCTCAACAAAACTGTGACATTCTACGACTTGGGGCTCGTTACTTTGGAAGGCCTGTATTACTTCACAGTAAGAGCACATAGTGCTTCCGGGTCAAAGGTCGAGGTGACATCAAATGGATTCGCTGTTGGATTTGACGATGGAACTAGAGGTAATACTCATATACACTTTATTCAGATGTATTGTAGGCCATAGGCCCATGATACAATGCTTGCAGTGTGGTGATAGGAGTTCGAGATCCCAACAGACTTTGCCTTAGATTCATAGCTTTTAGAATACACATGGCTAGTTTCTTAACAGTAAATGGGTTGGTGGATGACATTAAAATATTGTACTTATGTCTTTTCGGGAACTCATAATAATTCAAGGATATATATTCTGACCTCAAAACTTGATAACAATCACAAATTAAAATAAAGTGATACTCATCTTCGATATAATCATGTTTACAATAGTACAAACTGTTTCTTCTCTAGGTTCCTTATTATGTCTACCTGATTCAATTCTTAGATGATGAGAACTACATCTGAAACGAGCCATAATACTTCTAAATTTATCACATGATAGCCTTGTAATATACATTTCAACACCAAATGTTTGCTTATACAAAGAATAATAATATGATTTCGAACTTTCACGTATAGCTGAATGCCAGTCTTGTTGGTACGATAATTTTAGCCTCACAAAAAAATCCTTTATAAACAAAGGTATATTTGCAACACACTGTTGATCCCATATAAAACCAAATCCTGCTGACACAATAATGTGTCTTATTTTGGAAACCCAGTTTACTTTACCATTACCTACAGCTTGCAGTTGCATATTATAGCATTTCTTTACATATCTAGATCTGGCATTTTCAAAATTTTGCACCAATATTTAACAACTCTTTTATAAGCATAAAGAGGTAATACACAGTATTCATTTAAGAAGCACAACAAACCTAGGTTGTTAAAATGTTGAGTGACATTGACGAATAGGAAAGTTTTTGTAATCACGTAAGACCCCAGAGTCCATGGTTTACGGGGTGTCTCTGTTGATAAAATTGTTTGCACTGACCAAGAATCTATTTGATATTTTAACAGCCGGACAAGTGAAGATGGGCGACTTTATTCCCACGACAGACAGGGTGGAACTGCGCTGGGAGGAGTTTGAGTCTGATGTAGGCGTCATGATGTACTATGCCGGTCTGTCCGACACCACGGAGGCCGAACACTATCACTGTGGGGAGTTTGTAAGTACTGACACAAAGCTGCGACCGTACTCACCAGTTAATATTACAGAGGGCAAGGGATGTTTGTTGGAGAGTCTCTTTCACCGAAAGAGTGAGTGAGTGAGTTGGGTTTAATGCCGCCTTTAACATTATTCCTGTTATATCGCGGCGTATCAGCTTAATGTGGGAGGAAAGCTCGAAATGATGCAGGTCTCTGACGTTTACCAATTCGGTGAAACCCATGCACGCGTATAGTGCTGACAGACCTAGAAACATAATCGAGGCGAACCGGGATTCGAATCCACAATCATAGGTTTCTGGCGTGCAACTCTGCACAGCGAATCGCGGCGCCTTAGAGTACTGGGTCCCCCGTGCCCCCCTCACCGAAAGAAGGGGGCGAAATGTTTAATGTTTTCATGAAGGACATGTTTGTTCTTGTCAGCCCAATGCTCCGTACTCGTGAAATGTGTCCTGGCCCATAAATATCATTGTTTCAGTTGGTACGGGGATCACTGGTTGGACGACCAATATTATAAGACCTATCTATATCACTAAACTAGAAACCAGTGTGACGTATCATGTGATGTATCATGTGATGTATCATGTGATGTATCATGTGATGTATCATGCATTGGGTGTAATATTATGTGTCCCCTGTAATGTATGGTTTGGTTGGCTGTTGGTTGTAAGATTGTATGTTTATTGAAATATTGTATGTTGGTTGTAATATTGTGAGTTGGTTGTAACCAAGTATGTTGGTTGAAACATTGTATGTTAGTTGTGATATTGTATGTACGTTGTAATATTGTGTGTTGGTGATGATATTGTGTGTTGGTTTTAATCAAGCATGTTGGTTGTAATATTCTGTGTTGGTTGTAATATTTTGAGTTGGTTGTAACCAAGGATGTTAACGTTGGTTGTAACATTGTTGGTTGGTTGGTTGCTTGCTTTTTTGTTAAACGCCGCACTCAGCAATATTCCATCTATATGACGGCAGTCTGTAAATAATCTAGTCTGAACCAGACAATCAAGTGATCGATATGAACATCGATCCACGCAATAGGGATCGATCAAATGCATCAACCAGTCAGCGAGTTGTAACCAAGTATGTTGGTTGTAATGTTTTTTTGGTTTTATTAGTGTATATTTGCTGTAATGTGTGTGTTGGTTGTAACCAAGTAGGTTGGTTGTAATCGTCTATGTTTGTTGTAATATTGTGAGTTGGTTGTAATCAAGTATGCTGGTTGTAATGTCTGTTAGTTGTTTTAGTGAATGTGTGTTGTAATTTGTGTGTTTGTTGTAATCAAGTAATTTGCTTGTAATCTTCTGTGTTGGTTGTAATCTTGTGAGATGGTTTTAATCACGTATACTGTTGTAATATTGTATATTGGTTGTATCCAAATGTGTTGGCTGGAATCTTGTATGTTGGCTGGAATCTTGTGTGTTGGCTGAAATCTTGTGTGTTGGCTGGAATCTTGTGTGTTAGCTGGAATCTTTTGTGTTGGTTGTAATCTTGTATGTTGGCTGTAATCTTGTATGTTGGCTGTAATCTTGTGTGTTGGCTGAAATCTTGTGTGTTGGCTGGAATCTTGTGTGTTGGCTGTAATCTTGTGTGTTGGTTGTAACCTTGTGTGTTGGTTGTAATCTTCTATGCTGGTTGTAATCTTGTGTGTTGGCTGTAATCTTGTGTGTTGGTTGTAATCTTGTGTGTTGGCTGGAATCTTGTATGCTGGTTGTAATCTTGTATGCTGGTTGTAATCTTGTATGCTGGTTGTAATCTTGTATGCTGGTTGTAATCTTGTGTGTTGGCTGTAATCTCGTATGCTCGTGTCTGCAGACAGAGATGGGAGTGATCTCAAAGGAGGAGAGACAGAGTATAATGAACATCGCCGATGTCCGCAATGTCGGCAGGGACACCTTTGTCAAGTTCCTCAACCTCACGCTGCAGCACGACAGTAGTTACTATGCTTGGATTATAGGTAATCTACGGATGAAAGAAGTGAAGCAATGAGTCCCGTCACATTAAATGAGTTCATAGACACACACAGAATGACATGGTTCATTCACTGAATGCAGGAGTTCATAGACACACACAGAATGACATGGTCCATTCATTGAATGCAGGAGTTCATAGACACACACAGAATGACATGGTCCATTCACTGAATGCAGGAGTCCATAGACACACACTGAATGACATGGTCCATTCATTGAATGCAGGAGTTCAAAGACACACACAGAATGACATGGTCCATTCATTGGATGCAGGAGTTCAGAGACACACAGAGAATGACGTGGTCCATTCATTGAATGCAGGAGTTCATAGACACACTCAGAATGACATGGTTCATTCATTGGCTGCAGGAGTTCATAGACACACACAGAATGACATGGTCCATTCATTGAATGCAGGAGTTCAAAGACACACACAGAATGACATGGTCCATTCATTGGATGCAGGAGTTCAGAGACACACAGAGAATGACGTGGTTCATTCACTGAATGCAGGAGTTCATAGACACACTCAGAATGACATGGTCCATTCATTGAATGCAGGAGTTCATAGACACACTCAGAATGACATGGTCCATTCATTGAATGCAGGAGTCCATAGACACACACTGAATGACATGGTCCATTCATTGGCTGCAGGAGTTCATAGACACACACAGAATGACATGGTCCATTCATTGGCTGCAGGAGTTCATAGACACACACAGAATGACATGGTCCATTCATTGGCTGCAGGAGTTCATAGACACACACAGAATGACATGGTCCATTCATTGGATGCAGGAGTTCATAGACACACACAGAATGACATGGTTCATTCACTGAATGCAGGAGTTCATAGACACACACTGACATGGTCCATTCATTGAATGCAGGAGTTCATAGACACACACTGAATGACATGGTTCATTCACTGAATGCAGGAGTTCATAGACACACACTGACATGGTCCATTCATTGAATGCAGGAGTTCATAGACACACACTGAATGACATGGTCCATTCATTAGATGCAGGAGTTCAAAGACACACAGAGAATGACGTGGTCCATTCCTTGAACGCAGGAGTCCATAGACACACACAGAATGACATGGTCCATTCATTGAATGCAGGAGTCCACAGACACACACAGAATGACATGGTTCATTCAATGAATGCTGACAGGTTAACCTTCACTTAGCTGTGCCTTAGTGTATAGGGGTTTGAGGCGCCTTTGTTGCTTTATTGTAGCAATTCCGCTGACTTTATTTCTCAAATAGGCAGGGAGAGGCCTAGTCATCTTACAACTAGATTGTCCTCGTAGTAATGTTACTGAAATACGAAATGAATCTTGTGTAATGTACATATACGTATCTGCGCATACAATTTGAGACAAACCCTTCTGATAAGGATTTCCTCGTTTCATGAATACTGATTTTATTAACTTTCCTGTTATTTGTTTGTTGTTTAAAGACAAGAATTATCAATTTCCTACCATGGCAGGTGTTAACAAGGCCGGCGTCTGCAACATGACAAGTCACAGGTTCAAGATCGATGCCACCCGACCTTCTAAAGGCAAGATCAGAGCGGGCCCTTACTATGACTTGGTATGTTACACAGCTACTGGAGACATGGGGTTATGATCATGGCTGACTTGGTACTAGTATATTACACAGCTACTGGAGACATGGGGTTATGATCATGGCAGACTTGGTATATGACACAGCTAGTCGAGACATTGGGTTATGATCATGGCTGACTTGGTATATTACACAGCTACTGGAGACATGGGGTTATGATCATGGATGACGTGGTATATTACACAGCTACTGGAGACATGGGGTTATGATCATTGCTGACTTGGTATATTGCACAGCTACTGGAGACATGGGGTTATGATCAAGGCTGACTTTGTATATTACACAGCTACTGGAGACATGGGGTTGTGATCATGGCTGACTTTGTATATTACACAGCTACTGGAGACATGGGGTTATGATCATGGCTGACTTGGTACTAGTATATTACACAGCTACTGGAGACATGGGGTTATGATCATTGCTGACTTGGTATATTGCACAGCTACTGGAGACATGGGGTTATGATCATGGCTGACTTGGTATATGACACAGCTACTGGAGACATGGGGTTGTGATCATGGATGATGTGGTATATTACACAGCTACTGGAGACATGGGGTTATGATCATTGCTGACTTGGTATATTGCACAGCTACTGGAGACATGGGGTTATGATCATGGCTGACTTGGTATATGACACAGCTACTGGAGACATGGGGTTGTGATCATGGATGATGTGGTATATTGCACAGCTACTGGAGACATGGGGTTATGATCATTGCTGACTTGGTATATTACACAGCTACTGGAGACATGGGGTTATGATCATGGCTGACTTGGCATATGACACAGCTACTGGAGACATGGGGTTATGATCATGGCTGAATTGGTATATTACACATCCGCTGGAGACAAGGGGTTATGATCATGGCTGACTTGGTATATTGCACAGCTATTGGAGACATGGGGTTGTGGTCATGGCTGACTTAGTATATTACACAGCTACTGGAGCTCCTGACGTTCTGAATGCTTGGTTTCAGAGCCTGTGCTGTTAGTCAATTTCTAACTGTTTGCGAGATATCCGAACCCGTTGTCTATTTACTTCTTTCCTGACTGATGTTCGGACACATTGCTTGTATTAAGGGCTCCAGTTATGCAGCTAAGCCAACTCAACTGTCGGTGTACTGGAAGAACTTCAATGACAGTGACTCAGGAATCAAGAGCTATACAGTCTCCCTTCTGAAGAACATTTCTTGTGGCCATGGCAACCCCGAGGAGCTGGTGGTGGAACCAATTGCACTTGACACCAACGCTACATCATATACATTCATGGACTTGAACCTTCAGGTAACTACATAAACTAATATAGCATTATCTAACCCGAGGTCTATATTGACGAGAATACTCCCGGTGATGCATTTCTGGCAGTGAAGTTATAATCTGTAATAAGACGCAAGGATTGGTATAAACGTCTACGGTATGGGCTTGAGGCACTTTGTGCGCTCCTCCCACGGTTTATAAGCCGTTATATATCCGGTATACCTTTCAAAGTGTCTGTAAAACCAGCTCACTCACTCACTCACTCACTCACACTTTTGTTGACAGACTAACATCTAGTCTCTGAAATGAACATAGTTCACAGAAAACACAGTTGTTAGATTGTGGTTATGAAATGTAATAAAAAGGCACCCAGAGACTTTCTTCATTTTAAGAAGATACTAATATTGCAGTAATCTAGACTTGTCGAACATTATAGACTTGCATGGGCTGTATTGGATATATTTGTTTCAGAGTCTGCATGACAGACTATCTTGTGGAGTTCATGTCCGAGTCTAGATACTAACATTAATATCCTTTTGCTTACGGTAATCAGTTTTGCTAATATGTGGTGCAACTATTTCAGCGGTCTGTCCCATACTTTGTGAGGTTCAAGGCTGACAATAATGCTGGATTATCGACGACGGTTGACTCTTCCCCCGTCCTGTATGACGACTCAATCCCTTCACCAGGACACGTTGTAGACGGTCACGACTTCACCGCGGACGTCAGCTGGATGGGGTCAGCCAATGAGATCAAAGGTAAACACGAATTGCGAATTGTGCAGTTGTATGGTAGAGCCATTTGGGTCAAAGGTAAAACACACGTGCATGGTATAGCCAGTTGACTCAAAGGTAAAACACACGTGCAAGGTATGGACATTTGGGTCAAAGGTAATACACACATGCAAGGTATAGCCATTTGGGTCAATGGTAAAACACACGTGCAAGGTATAGCCATTTGGGTCAAAGGTAAAACACACGTGCACGGTATAGTCAGTTGGCTCAAAGTTGAAACACACGTATATGGTATAGCAATTTGGGTCAAAGGTAAAACCCACGTGTATGGTAGAGGCATTTGGCTCAAAGGTAAACCACACGTGGATGTATCTCACTTTGGTCCTCTGCCACTTCAGGAACATTCTTGCACCACCCGATACCCGATTCCTCTGGTTGTCCGGGGCGTCCAACCAAGTTTGACGACCGAGGATGGAAATTCTTCTCGTCGGACAGCAACTACGTAGGGTTGAACAAGAGCTTGTCCCTCAGCTTCAGGAGGGAGAACGTTTACCCCCAAGGAGATGAAGTAGAGATCAAGCTGGCCCGAGACACCAAGAAACCAAGGATGTTTTCTGGCGGGTACTACAGGAATGCTGATCTGTTGAATGGCGGAGTGTACAAGGTAAGAAACGGGTTGAAAAAACGGTTCACTGTTGGAACAGTGCTGTTCGTGATATATATATATATATATATGCTACTCAAAAGAAGTTAAGGATCACCCGATTCTTTCATGATGGTAAAGTTAATCTGTCATGACATGAGAGATTAACAATAGTAATATGAAAGAATCGGGTGATCCTTAACTTCTTTTGAGTAGTGTGTGTGTGTGTATATATATATATATATATATATATATATATATATATATATATATACAAAATGAGGTAAATGTTCACTCGGTGTACATGTAATATATAATAAAATAATAAAGTCCACGTAAGTCCATCATCTTCTTTATATCAGTTTCATACATAGTACTTTCGCTGTCTCATGACAGCTCTTCAGTGTAACTGACAATGACATATAATGACGTCATACTTATGATGACGACATAAATTACAACTGTGACGTCATAATGTATTTACACACTCCAGCGACGACACCAAGTAATTTAACAATTGTAGGGAGACATTTGAATTAACAGTATTTGTAAAGTAACAGTGCAACATTTACGATTGAAATGACAAATCTATTAATACATTCTAGAGTTCAATTTTGGTTTCATCAATTGGATAAACATTTGTTCTTTTTCCAGTCTCAGCTGCTTGTTACTTGTATGCAATTTATAAAACGGAAAAATAGTAAATTTCCCGTTTCCGCAATCATCAATGTGTTTGCTGACACCTAAGCATCGAACATTAGGGGCTCTTGAATTATATTTTTTGCACTGTGTTTGAGGTTTAAGGTAAGGTAAGACATTATTGTACCCATGTACACGAACACAGTGTTGAGGGAACGTTTTAAGCGCTATGCTACTTCAGCCGTGTAATCTGCTTCATGACATCCACCCCCGGTATCCGTGCCTTCCTCCACACAGATGTCCATCAAGGCAGCTGGTGAAAGTACAACACAACCTCGCCCTAACATAGTGCCTCGTTTCGGGGGACTCTTTGCGCGGCTTCCAAACATAAGAAGTCCCGCCAGACAGCAGAAACGTGACAGCCGGCCAGTGACCAGTGTTGTGTTCTGGGACGGACCAGAGGACTACATTCTCAACAACGACTACACACCCAAGCCTAGCTGGGCAGACTCCAACTGTGCCTGCTGTAAGGAAGAGCCTGTTTCAGAGGTAAATATGACTGTCTACCTAAATCAGTGGAATCGTGACCAACTCGTGTTATTCCGGGACAAGCCGAATAGAGATTCGTGCCCCTCTCGTGGCCATTTTTGCAACCGGGTTCCGTCTTAGCGCAAACGGGCATAGTTAAAAGAATTGTCAATTTGTTGCGTAATGACTCACGTGTTTATCCCCCATGTCATATATATTCCAGATGATATTTAAAACACATCGTGACTTACAGTATTTATAAAGTATCATTGAATACATTTAACTGTATCTAGGGTATGTTTTTGGATGCAAGACATATGTAAAATCAAAGATTATTCCTGAGGGATTCTTTTACCAAAGTACGTTAAGTCATACTCGCATTCTGATTGGTTTGTCGTCTTTTCGCACATAAAATTCATCGATAAGGGGGCGAGTCTTCTTGCACGTTACGGAAAGGGGCGAGTGGTTACGAATGTGGATAGGCGGTGGCCTATTTCTTGTTGGCTGCGATTGGACGACACTAAACATATAATTCATTGGTCCTCCACGTCACATAAAAACAAGCAGCGGATTACATTACAACTGCCCACACTGCAAACAACTAGAAACCCCAGAACACGCACTCATCCACTGCACACACTACCTAACACATCGAACCGCATTACAAACCACTCTCAATCTAAACAAGGCTCTCACTCTAGAAGCAATACTAAACCCACAAAATACACAAGAAAACTTCAAGGTCTTAGGCGTATTCTTAATCAAAACGGAACTAATAAAACGCATGTAAAAACAAAATAATCTACCAAATCAAAATCACATAAACAAACAAACATCCACCATACGCAGCTCCCTTAGTTCTCCTCCCCAACCCCATCGGCATCTATTCCAAATCTCAAAATTCCCAAATTCTATATAAGCAACCCCTAAAGCCCCCTCTTGGGTTGCACAGACCACTTTAACCCCTTTCGGAAACACATTAAATGGCCTGGCCGGGCCCGTGTGCGAAATACGCATCAGTCGGAAAGCGCACGTTTAATCTCCAAAGTAAGTAAGTAAGTACATTAAATGCTGATAAATGTAAGACAGCTCGCGTCAGAAAAGAATTTTGTCACAGTTTGTTATAAAAAAAAAGTAAGTGTATTCATACTCGTGACTAAGGACCCTGCACATGCGCTCTTCAACCGGATGTAGTACAGATTTGTAACACTTTGAGGCCGTCGCCTGTTGGCTAAAGGCGCTTAACTTGCTGCGAAGACAAACAGTTTTGAGGTAGCGGTCCTGGGTCTCGTTCCACAAAGCGATCTTAACGCTGAGATGATCGTAGCTCCCATACTTTAACATAGGCTTACGATAGTCGTAGTGCTAAGATCGCTTTGTGGAACGGGGCCCTGAGTATGAGGGCTGTAACGATTTATCGAGACATCGCCGCATTGCGATATTTGTGCCACGATCAGGGTTTTGTATGATGTGACCATCTATCTCTATTGGCTTCTGCAACGATGACGTGTAAAATATGGTGACTGTTAATTATATTTCTATTTTAACTATCTCTATTAGAGTAATATTCTTTTATGCTCAAGCTTACTGAATGTGTTGGTTGTTCCTCTATTCAAAGCTTTCACAGGGGGCACGGGTGGCCCAGTCGTCTAAGGCGCCGCGATTCGCTCTGCAGAGTTGCGTCCCTTGGGCACGCCAGAAACCTATGATTGTGGGATCGAATCCCGGTTCACCCCGATTAAGTTTCTAGGTTTGTCAGCACCATACCCGTGCTCGTGGGTTTCACCGAAGTGGTAAACGTCTGAGACCTGCATCACTTCGGGCTTTCCTCCCACATTAAGCTGACACGCCGCGATATAACTGGAATACTGTTAAAAGCGGCGTTAAACCCAACTCACTCACTCACTCATTCCAGACTTTCACGTGATACATCGTGTGTGTAGATTGATAAGGAGCCACAACAAAGGTAGATTTAGAACGCATCTGCACCGGGAATAATATAATATGCATCACAAATAATATAGTTAATATTTAATATAGCTTGATAAAAAGTAATGTTTGATACATCTCGAAGACTCAACAGAGGGGCGTGGTCAAAGCGGTGTCCAGGGATCCAGAACATTCATATTCCATTCTGTGCTGGCATGGGTGTGACACGTCTGACAGTTAGGGGCTGGTTTCATTCCACCAATGTCAGGTGCCTAGAGGAGTTCTACATCAGCAGGGGCGGTCGGGTAGCCTAGTGGTTAAAGTGTTCGCTCGTCACGCCGAAGACCCGGGTTCGATTCCCGACATGGGTATAATGTGTTTAGGCCATTTCTGGTGTCCCCCGCCATGATATTGCTGGAATATTGCTAAAAGCGGCGTAAAATCATGCTCACTCACGCTATATCAGCAACATTCAGGCGAAGACACACGAAATGGGCTTCAAACCGCAGTCCCACTAGGGAAATCGAAACTGGACTTTAGTCTTGGCGAGTGAACGCTTTCACCACAAGGCTACCCTACGGCAGACACACAGGGTACCGTGTCTGACCTTTTGATTGATATGAGATTTTGTTATATCTTTACCTATATTCAACAATGATTTACAGCTGACTCGCACACGTTTCGAAAGCTTCTACGCCAATGCAATACGAGCTCGTATACATATTTCCATATTTTCTCGACAATGATAGACCTGCACATGCAACTGTGAAGAGTATAAGCAAGCAAAAGATCACTACAGACGTCTTGAGACAACAGCTGCAACACTTACAGCAAACACGACATCATCGACGACAACCACCACTACTACGCCTACTACCACTGTTCACAAAGGGAGTGGTTTACATCTTAGCTACAGACCGCCTGTTTTCAGCCCTCTGGCCGTATCTGTTTTCAACGAACTGAGAGTCAAAGAAAATAAAGACATATATGTGAAGCCAAAAAGCGACCCCCAAGATGCATGTGGAATGCAATTGTTTAAAAATACAGGTACGTACTAGAGACAAGACCATGAACTATTAGAGTGTATATGTACTATTAAGATCGCCTATTATCAATGGGTTAAGGTTATAGTGTTGAACTATAATCAAGTGAAGACGCCTGACACATTGGCGACGTACAGTACGAAATCCGTTAGCTCATCTGAACTGAACGCTCAAGTGTGTTTTGGTTATGAAACTTTGTCTGTCGTCAGTCCGTCCATGCTTTATTCCATTTAAATATTAGATTTATGGTTGGTTTGTTGTTTAACGCCGCACTCAGCAATATTCCAGCTATAGGACGGCGGTCTGTATATAATCGAGTCTGGACCAGACAATCCAGTCATTGACATCATGAACATCGATCCACGCAATTGGAATCGATGACATGCATCAACCAAGTCAGCGAGCCTGACCACCCGATCCCGTTAGTCGCCTTTTACGACAAGCATAGTCGTCTTTTACGGCAAGTATGGGTTGCTGAAGACCTGTTCTACCCCTGATTTTCACAGGTACATATTAGACATTTCTTCTGACACCAAGCCACATGGACTTTCTGTATCTAAATATTGCACAAATAATTGTCATTGAAAAAGTGATTGAGTGAGTTGGATTAACTCCGTTTTTAACAGTATTCCAGTTATATCACGGCGTGTCAGCTTAATGTGGGAGGAAAGCCCGAAGTGATGCAGGTCTCGGACGTTTACCACTTCGGTGAAACCCACGAGCACGGGTATGGTGCTGACAAACCTAGAAATATAATCTGGGCGAACCGGGATTCGAACCCACAATCACAGGTTTCTGGCGTGAAGAAGGGACGCAACTCTGCACAGCGAATCGCGGCACTTTAGACGACTGGGCCACCCGTGGCCCCTCATCGAAATAAGTATATAGTGACTTTGACTGCAGTAATGACAAGATCACTGAGGGTTCGACTCCAAACTAAAAACGCAAATACCATACATGTTCGTTAAAATTTGAAGATTTAAATATAATTATATTCAAGACATATTTGTTTGTTTCGATGCACTAACAAACATACTGTTATGTTGCGAGAACCGATGCTTATGAACGAATAACATGTGACGTCATAGATCCATGACTCGACATGCACCATTGTCTCGTGCAGGATTTGCGTGCAAAGTTTGGAAATCACATGCAGCATATCGTGCTAATATAAGAATAAAGACACTCTGTGGTAACCCTTGACTGATTGTTAGTTTTGTCATTAAGTGGTACACATTGGAAACATCTCTTTAGGTGTATAAATCTCTGTATGTTAATATGGTTCGCGTTTCTTTTGGCGGTGAGGTTGCTTGACTAGAAAACATATTCCGCTAACAATAGAACATAATAATATGAATAATTCATATTTTTTTTTTTACGTGTTCCTATCGTTATCGATCGTATAGTTGTCCGATTTTCGATCACGAACATTGATACTACTTACTATGGTTCGCGTTTCTTTTGGCAGTGAGGTTGCATGATTAGAAAATATATTCCGCAAACAATATAACATAAAAATATGAATATTTCATTTTTTATTTTTTTATTATGTGTTCCTATCGTTATCTATCGTAAAGTTGTCCGATTTTCGATCACGAACATTGACACTACTTAATTTCGTTTATCCGACACACTCGTTTATCCGACACAATCATATGCAACCAACAATGTCGGATTAACGGGACTGTTATATGAGTGTGAACAATTAACAAAACAAATGGCAGCCCAACAATGATCAAATCCTTCATGTATCGATGTGAAATCTGCGTTCTTTACTAAGATGGGGAAGAGTCGGTGAAGGGCAAGTTGGTGGCGTGGTGTAACTTTAAGGATCCGATGATGAGGCCTCTGGAGACTGTCAGGGACCTGGATGTCGACCCCTCCCTCGACTACCACGACTACACCATCTCCTTCAGCATTACCAGGGAGGAGGCCAAGGACTCGGCGGTGAGACATGTCTTGTTGGAATCAGGAATGGTACCCAGATGGTGACGGACCTTTTAAGTGGTTGAAGCGTTCGTTCATCACGCTGAAAATTTGGTTCGATTCCCTGTGTGTCCAATAGAACTTTGTGCAGTCGCCACCTGATATGGTTGGAATGTTATGCCTTACAGCCACGTTAACCATCTCTCTCATTTAATGTTATGCTTCCTGTTCGAAACGTATTTCAATAATGTATTGCAGTTGTATATAATTTAACCTATTGTGACTATGCACACGGGTATGTGCACTCTATGTATTCTCTTTAGACTTGGACCTATCGAATTGACTTAAATTTCGTATAGCTAGATTGGTTTCAATTTTACGAGGTTTCACTTAATATAGGTAATAAACTGACAGGTACCAGCGTTATGAAAACGTTAACAGGCTGAAAACAGCCGCATAAAACATAATTGAGAACATAATTCCAAAAACATAACTATGATACACATGTCAAATACACCATCCTGGCATAACCAATTCTTGTGTGTTTCATTTTAGCAACTATCAAACATAGCTGTACACTTTCCTTTGATGGGCAGTTTATATACTCGTTCCCTATGGCACTGTAATGCAATCAGTTTCACCCGTCCATCTGAATACATACATTGTTTAATGTGTTGTTTAATATGACAGTCAGCAATACTCCAGCCATATAACTGCAGCATGTGTACAATCGAGTCTGGGCCACACAAACCAGTGATTGATAATATGAGTTCCTAGGCGTCAGGGTACGAGGCAATCAACCAAGTAACCGAACCTGACCAACCGATCGATCCATGCGGTCGCCTCTTTTGACAGGCGTCGGTTAATGCAGGGGACGAATAAGGACTTAAAATCTCATTTTACTGTGTATAAAAGTACAGTAAACTACGGTTATAACGAACACGCTTATAACGAACTGACGGATATAACGAACTTACTTTTTATTCCCAACTATTTGCTGTAGTTATGCTGTATATATGCTTATAACGAACTACGGTTATAACGAACTAAAAATAGTAGTCCCTTTGAGTTCGTTATAACCGTAGTTTACTGTATCATGGGTTCCCGGCCTTGTCTACCAGATGTGCGTTGGAAACAATGCTCACAAACACATCTCAACATTTAATTCTGACATTGTTGAATTGTATGCGCGATATTTATTTGTACTGACAGTAAAGCTTATTTCCTTGTACGTTTCATTGTTCCCTTTTTCGTTTAAATCAGAATGATATATATTATTATGCCCAAACGTGAGATTGACCAATCAGAGAGCAGAACTACTGAGCACACGAGCCCGTCAGTAAAAATTCAAGATGGTTGTTACTGACCTAATATGAGACCGTAACAGCCATATTGGATTTTCCAACACCCACCTCAAATATTTCACATGGTACAGAAATTCGTTATTTGACACTGTTTTGTGTTTTTATATAATTAATTGTGATGTGGAAGAGCGTTACGTTTTTTAAAAAAATCACGTTCGTGACTTTATTAATAAAAACTATTGTTAAAAGTTCAACAACGTTTGGCCTCTTAGGTTTGTAGAGTAGTCTCCCTTTGACCATTAACGTCAGTTTGTTGGTGATGTTTACATTTTGACATGATATGTGCGATAAAGACACCAGATAGTGTAAACTTTTCGGCAAAATGAACTCGCTCAAATGTTTCTCCGGAGCTAAAATGACACCTATACGTCAACTAAAGACACCATAATAATATTATGCCTCGATATTGACCAATCAGAGAGCAGGACTACTAACCCCATATGAGCCCGTATACCGTCGGTAAAAATCCAAGTAACAGCCATTTTGGATTTTCTAACACCCAGCTCACATATTTCACATGAAAATTTGGCACAGAAATTCGTTATTCCACACTGTTTTGTATGTTAAAATCATTAATTTTGACATGAAAGGGCGGTAATGTTTTATTTATCACTTTTGTGACTTTAAAAAAGATGATATAAAGTTAAAATTATCAACATGGTTTGGCTTCTGGGGTTTGAAGAGTAGTCTCCCTTTGACCCTTAACACCGTAGGTTATACGTATTAAGTTTTGAATTTTAAGCTTTGACATGACATGTGCGACAAAGATACCAAAAAGTGTAAACTTTTCGGCTAAATAAATTCGTTATTGTGTCTTTAGTTGCGGTGTCATATTAGGTTAGTAGAAAAACTATTCGGCGAGGCGACTGCTAACCTAATATGACACCGTATACGACAACAAAAGAAACCATAACGAATATAACTCATCAGTATATGCAATCTACACCTACCCACACAGGCCACGTGGTGCATGAAGATACACATGGACGGAGAGGAGATATCGGACCAGTGTGGCATCCCCCATCTATCAACAAACACCAGCATATTCCTGGGAATATGGAACCACAAGAACTACATGCCTGCAACTCGCAGAGACGGTGCCAATTACCTTCGGGTTTGGGAGGAAAGAGCATCGTTTAAGAACTTGGAATTGCCTCCTGAGTTAGGCAAACTGTGTCGCTATGGCAACCCGTTCCGTGGAGGAAACAATGCCATAGTTCGGTATGAAGCCGGAATCGGGCTGAAGTCGGGTCAAGCTGATGTCGTACCGTTCCGCCCGGTAAGACGCGTGTGATGTCAAGGTAGTTGCAAATGATTTAGTCATATGTTTCTTGAATAGTTTGTTGATTGGTTGGTTTGTTGTTTAACGCCGCAATCTGCAATATTGCAGCTATATGACGGCGGTCTGTAATTAATCGAGTCTGCACCATACAATCCAGTGATTGATATCATGAGCATCGATCCTCGCAATGTGGGATCGATGACATGCATCAACCAAGTCAGCAAGTCTGACCACCCGATCCCGTTAGTCGCCTTTTACGACAAGCATAGTCGCGTTTTACGGCAAGCATGGGTTGCTGAAGACCTATTCTTCCCCGGATCTTCAAGGGTCTTCTTGAATAGCATGGAATAGCGAGACATACATACATTTAATAGAGGGCCATATAAACATATTATTACATGTATTTTAATGCCAAGTGTAACAGGAGGAAAAGCATTGAGGTGTGATAGATATAAATTTATTTTGGTTACGATCTTGACCCTTCAAACAGCATCTGCAGTACAAGTCTATGCATTATGGAGGTAGTCTCATACTATTATATTTACAGTTACGTCTTTGATATATGTTTGTTTATTGTTTAACGCTGCATCCAGGAATTTGTTTTTTGTTTAACGCCGCTCTCAGCAATATTCCAGCTTTATGACGGCGGTCTGTAAATAATCGAGTCTGGACCAGACAATCCAGTGATTGATACCATGAGCATCGGTCTACGCATTTGGGATACGACGACATGTATCAACCAAGAGATCCTAGTACTTTTGAGGGTTGCGTCCCATCCAAGATTCGAACCCGCACTGCCAGAGCAAGGCACCGAAACTCCAGTATCTAGTAACCTCACTTTAGCAATGTGGGTTCGAATCCCGGATGCGACTCAACCCTAAAAAAATACTAGAATCTGTACTTTACTAAGAAAGCGTGATCCTTATATAACATTTGCTAAATTTGACCTTTTTGTACATGGCATTGTGTGTTCATAATTTCTTGTCTGCCATTGTTACAGGTATATAGCCCGTGCATTCCCTGTTTGAGGCCATGTGACGCCTACAGCTGCAACGCTTCCTGTGACAAGTCACGTACACGGCAGGTCAGCTTCACTCTGACAGACCTCTCGCTGGACGAAACAACAACAATCAACGGGAAGAAAGAACCGATACCTTATTATCTAGCAGGTAAGTAACGACTGGCCTATTATCTAGCAGGTAAGTAACGACTGGCTTATTATCTAGCAGGTAAGTAACGACTGGTTTATCATCTAGCAGGTAAGTGATGGCTGGCTTTTCATCTAGCGGGTAAGTGAAGACCGGCTTATTATCTAGCAGGAAAGTGATGACTGACTTATTATCTAGTAGGTAAGTGAAGACTGGCTAATTATCTAGTAGGTAAGTGACGACTGGCTTATTATCTAGCGGGTGAGTGAAGACTGGCTTATTATCTAGTAGGTAAGTGAAGGTTGGTTTATTATCTAGTAGGTAAGTGAAGGCTGGTTTATTATCTAGTAGGTAAGTGAAGGCTGGTTTATTATCTAGTAGGTAAGTTACGACTGGCTTATTATCTAGTAGGTAAGTGAAGGCTGGTTTATTATCTAGTAGGTAAGTGAAGGCTGGTTTATTATCTAGTAGGTAAGTGAAGGCTGGTTTATTATCTAGTAGGTAAGTGAAGGCTGGTTTATTATCTAGTAGGTAAGTGAAGGTTGGTTTATTATCTAGCGGGTGAGTGAAGACTGGCTTATTATCTAGTAGGTAAGTGAAGGCTGGTTTATTATCTAGTAGGTAAGTGACGACTGGCTTATTATCTAGCGGGTGAGTGAAGACTGGCTTATTATCTAGTAGGTAAGTGAAGGTTGGTTTATTATCTAGTAGGTAAGTGAAGGCTGGTTTATTATCTAGTAGGTAAGTGAAGGCTGGTTTATTATCTAGTAGGTAAGTTACGACTGGCTTATTATCTAGTAGGTAAGTGAAGGCTGGTTTATTATCTAGTAGGTAAGTGAAGGCTGGTTTATTATCTAGTAGGTAAGTGAAGGCTGGTTTATTATCTAGTAGGTAAGTGAAGGCTGGTTTATTATCTAGTAGGTAAGTGAAGGTTGGTTTATTATCTAGCGGGTGAGTGAAGACTGGCTTATTATCTAGTAGGTAAGTGAAGGCTGGTTTATTATCTAGTAGGTAAGTGACGATTGGCTTATTATCTAGCGGGTGAGTGAAGACTGGCTTATTATCTAGTAGGTAAGTGAAGGTTGGTTTATTATCTAGTAGGTAAGTGAAGGCTGGTTTATTATCTAGTAGGTAAGTGAAGGCTGGTTTATTATCTAGTAGGTAAGTTACGACTGGCTTATTATCTAGTAGGTAAGTGAAGGCTGGTTTATTATCTAGTAGGTAAGTGAAGGCTGGTTTATTATCTAGTAGGTAAGTGAAGGCTGGTTTATTATCTAGTAGGTAAGTGAAGGCTGGTTTATTATCTAGTAGGTAAGTGAAGACTGGCTTATTATCTAGTAGGTAAGTGAAGGCTGGTTTATTATCTAGTAGGTAAGTGAAGGCTGGTTTATTATCTAGTAGGTAAGTGAAGGCTGGCTTATTATCTAGTAGGTAAGTGAAGGCTGGTTTATTATCTAGTAGGTAAGTGAAGGCTGGTTTATTATCTAGTAGGTAAGTGAAGGCTGGTTTATTATCTAGTAGGTAAGTGAAGACTGGCTTATTATCTAGTAGGTAAGTGAAGGCTGGTTTATTATCTAGTAGGTAAGTGAAGGCTGGTTTATTATCTAGTAGGTAAGTGAAGGCTGGCTTATTATCTAGTAGGTAAGTGAAGGCTGGTTTATTATCTAGTAGGTAAGTGAAGGCTGGTTTATTATCTAGCAGGTAAGTAACGACTGGCCTCACGAAAAGCAAGCAGACATGCACTTGTTGATCGGATTACGGAGCACAAGAATAGCGTTGTTCGTGTTCTTTGTTGATGAAACTTGAGATTTATTCTCTTGTAATGCCCCCATCATGGCAGAGGCGTTAACACATTGTTCTGATTGGTCATCTAGTTTATAATGTCACGACCGACGTGACCAATAAGAACGCGGCGGCCATGACAGAACTGCCATTGCCAATTTATCAAAATGCATTTTCCATCAGATTTAGGTGGAATACAATCTATCTTTTTGAGAAATGTCTGTGTGTTTCACATCCACACATATCAAACCGCCTCCGTTGTCTGGTGGTGGAGCGTCCGCCCGAGGAGCCGCGTCGTACCAAAAGACGTTAAAAGATGGTACTTGTTGTTACCCTGTCTGGCGCTCGGTATTAAGGGGCTAAAACAAGGACTAGTCGACTCGGAGTCAGTATACTGTGTCAGTTAAACCGCGGCATGGTACCTCTGTGGGCTAGCACTATCAATCGGCATCAGTCCGGTCTAGTACAAGCAGTCACACACACACACACATGTGCATGCACGTCGCTATATAAGTGCAATAATTTTGGACGCGACGTAAAACCCCATTTCACCTCACCTCCACACATATCAAACAAAACCGGCTTCCACAGGAGATACCCCTTGAGTTGGATGCTCCCCTTCTGTTCTAGTGAAGGCAGTTCTAGGGTCAGGCATGTCAGCTATATCCTCCTCTGACGGCTTCTCCGTCGACACAACCCCGCCCGACTTTGACCAGGACCTCATGCTCTACATGGACGTCTACCAAGGCAACTTCACTCCGTCCGCATTCCAGGGATCTAACGACACCATCAAAGCTATATGGAAGTGCAGCGACAACGAGAGCGAAATTGTCGTATGTACCAGTGTCGCTCACATTATAATTACATGTGGGTTGGTTGTATTCTACTTTTAGCAATCCTAATTGGCTGTTGTTCTCGGGTTCAGGACTCGTCCCGATTATTATGACCCGTGATCCTAGGATTATAAATCAATACAAATTACTGCACAGCAATTGCATTGGCAGCACATAACAGAGTGGTAGTACAATATTCCATGACAATATATAATATGATGTCAGTGGTCAGTATCAAATACAAAAGTACAGTGGTGATAGCAAAAGTCAGTGATGATAGTATATTCACCCTGCGGCGACCGCGGTCAAGCTTCCAAGACGGGCCCAGGCAGGGATTCAGGGGTTGATCTGAATCCTCACATGAAAGCTGGTCTTGGTGGGATGAAATGCGTGAGAGAGATGCGTAAACATGCTCTTGTCTCCTTATATGCAACCTACCTAGCTACTGGAAATTTCTACAATGTGTATCCAACCGTCCAGCGGCACTAGAACATTCCACATGATCTATAACGTTTACACATCATACTAGCATCTAAATATAGTAACTTCCTGACGACTAGTTGCATTCCAAACACAATGCAATAAACGTCTACCGAATCTCAACAAAAACAATGAAACACAGTTACAATCATTGTTAAACAATAAAAAAACTGCCATTTAACAATGTCACTTTCAGGGACAGTGGGGTAGACTAGTGGTTAAACCATTGGCTTGTCACTCCGAAGGTCGTGTTTTGGGTAAAATGTGTGAAGCACGTTTCTATATTCACCCGCTCATATAGTTTCGTCTGTCTTCCCACATTAAACTGTACCCGTGAAGATTCCAGGGTAGAATAGGTCTTTAGCAACCCATGCTTGCCGTAAAAGGTGACTATGCTTGTCGTAAAAGGTGACTAACGGGATCGGGTGGTCGGACTCGCTGACTTGGTTGATGCATGTCATCGATCCCAATTGCGTGGATCGATGCTCATGATATTAATCAATGGATTGTCTGGCCCAGACTCGATTATTTACAGACCGCCGTCATATTGCTGGAATACTGCGGAGTGTGGCGTTAAACAACAAACCAACCAAAAATCTAATAAGTAAATGAAATAAAGCATGGACGGAGTGATGACAGACAAAGTTTCATAATACCCCCATTCCACAGAGAATTTTGGCTCATCGGTCACTCATCGGAAGCAAAGTTTTTTATTTCCGGTAACCCAACGAAGAGTATCGTATAACACTCCGATGAATCCGATTTGTGTTTGTCGACTATTAGGTTAGTGTCCGACATTCTGAAATGTATCAGATATGATGTTCATTATGCCGTTGAGTACAGGCATATTCATGGTTGGAAAAGAAACTTGCACCCAATTTGTTGCATTACTTAGAACAAATTATATTTACAAAACATTAACTCACATGTGTAATTCAGGACTACGAGTGGGCAATAGGCCGGATCCCCGGGGGAGAGGAGCTACAGACGTTCCGGTCGACGGGGGAGAACCCAGGGGGTGTCAACTCTGGATTCGCAGGCATACTGCGGCATAACATTACCTACTACGTGACCGTGCGCTGTACAAATGGCGGTGGCCTCACTACCACACACCGAGACAAGAAAGGTTAGACAGCAAAAACAATTGAATTGAATTGACAGCAAAAACAAATGTATTTCACCTTTTGGTACATATAAGTATTAGATATTATAGTGCAAATACCATCGTGATTTCAAACTCATCTCCGTGTCCGAATTTCAGTGAGCATAATAAAGTCACTTCAAACCAAGATATTGCATTTATTTTTTATTTCATTTGGAGACAATTTATATTTGTTAATTTTTACAATTTTAAGTTTATTTATGAGAAGTACAATAATATATGTAATTATCAACATGTACACATATTTAACCACGAGTATAATTACTAACATTACCGCTGTTATATTTTCACATGTTTCACGGGTGTAGCATTCCGTCACTTAACAGCTGAAACATTGGCGATGCGACGTTACATGATTATTTCCCTTTCTTAAGACCCGTGACGATCCGGGGTAGAATAGGTCTCAAGGACCCTATGCTTGCCGTAAAAGGCGACTATTCTAGTCGTAAATGGTGACTAACGGGATCGGATGATGCATGTCATCGATCACCAATTGCCTGGAACGATACTCATGATGTTAATCACTGGAATGTCTGTTCCAGACTCGATTATTTGCAGACCACCGTCATATAGCTGGAATATTGCTGATTGCAGCATCAAACAACAAACCAACCAACCCTATCTTAAGTACTTACAGGAAACTCTGTTGAATATTATTAGGCCACAACCCTCATCTTCATCTACAAGCCAATGGGAAAATATTTTTTCTGTCAATTGATTTTCCTCCTGATCGCTCTTGAGGCCACGTTGAGTAGTTATTCCAGATGAGGTCATTGTGGTTGTGGTTGTCTGTTTGAACCAATACTGTTGTTTGTTGTTTTACGCCGCACTCAGCAATATCCCAGCTATATGACGGCGGTCTGTAAATAATAATCGTGTTTGGACCAGACAATACAGTGATTGATATCATGAGCATCGATCCACGCAATTTGGATCGATGACATGCATCAACCAAGTCAGCGAGCCTGACCACCCGATCCCGTTAGTCGCCTTTTACGACAAGCATGGGTTGCTGAATACCTGAACCAATACATTTGCACATGCTATGTTTAAAGGAGTGACCGTGCTGCTTGAAAACCCCGTGATCGATGACGTCAACACGACGATAGAGGGCGCTATGCCACTCGCGGACGACGTGATTCCAGAAGACGCAATGAAAACGGACGACCAAAACTCTGTGGGTGCATCATGGACGATTAGCAAGGATCCAAGCATCAAGAGATACGGTGGGTAACTGGCCGATGGTGATGCGAAAGTTGTGCTACCTTTCTGTTGTTCTCAATGAAGATGAACTCGATCCGATCGGACCTCTTCTGATTTAATCACGCTTTGGTAGCCGCCAAACCACGACCACGATGAGTTATGTGTTGTTTGGGTATAGGGTACAAAGTCAGAGATTCGGCTTTAGCTAAGAGCATGATTATGGAAAGGATATTGTCGCTTTTATTTAGAGTATGTTTATATTATTCCATACAATTTCACTATAAGCTATGCCAAATCATATTTTGAATGTGTCGTGTTTTGTTTTGTTTTGTTTGTTTGTTTGTTGTTTAACATCGCACTGTGCAATATTACAGCTATATGGCGGTGGTCTGTAAATAATGGAGTCTGGACCAGACAATCCAGTAATTGACATCATGAGCATCGGTCTACGCAACTGGGATGCGATGACATGCATCAACCAAGTCAGCGAGCCTGACCACCCGATCCCGTTAGTCGCCTCTTGCGACAAGCATCGTCACCTTTTTCGGCAAGCCTGGGTTGCTGAAGACCTATTCTACCCCGGATCTTCACGGGTCTGGAATGTATCGTGAGGTTCTGAGGTAGCGTAGTGGTTGGAGCGTTATCTGTTTGTGCTAAACGCACAGGTTCGTTTCCCGTTCGTGCAGCGTGTACAGTCCATGCTTGGTGTCAAAACCGTGATATGGATCAAGTGGTGCTAAAAAATCCGATGGAAACCATACCCTCACTCACCCAGTATTCTGTGTTTGCAGATTTTTGTGTGGGAAGTTCGGCAACTGTCCCCGACGACATCTTCCCCTGCACGTGGGTGGGCTACAACGAATCTGGAACGGTGGCCATAAAAGATGGCTATCTGAATATAAACGGCGAGAAGATTCACAAGCTAAGCCAATACCGTCCGGATGCCAATGACTGGATCGACAACCCCTTTGACAAGAAACTTTTCACAATGGCACCTGGCACCGATATGTTCATATTCATGAAGATGTGCAATGAGGCGGGACGATGCACTGCCAAGCTCATCGGGTCGTCGTTCGTGGAGACGCAGTCGTCCACGATGGCAGTGACGGGAACAGATGGCCTCCCGGTCAGCATACAGATGGATGGAAAAATGAGTCTCCGGCGGAAAAGGGCAGCCTCGAAAGTGTCAGTACAAACTCCAGCTGGTGAGTGGATGGGCGGGTAGTTGGTTAAAGGCGGGACGTGGGACATTAGTTAAGGATGGACATGGCTTACAGGTGGGGCATTCGTTAGGGAGGATCGTGGGTTAAGGGTGAGTCATTGTGTAGTGAAGGCGATGGGGGTACGAGCTCACTCCACCCTGGATCAGTTCCAGCTCCTGACATCCTTCATCTTCCTGAGGCAAGGGAGTTAACTGACTTTAAAAGTCCAGTTTTCACCCTTGCCGAACTAGGCTGGAATTCCTGGACTCCATCGTAGCGCCACCAGTGGCTGTTACGAGTTAAGTCCCTTCTATGCCTCTCCTATGGACCAATCAAATTCCACCTCTCGTATAACTTGCTTTTGATTAAAACAAAATGGCGGCGCCCAGTTAAGACGATCTGATCGATAATAAAGATCAATATTGTGATAAAACGGGGCTTACATCGCGAAGTGCATCAAATCACGTGAGCACCTTGATTAAAAACTTGAAAAGATTTGGAAAATATCTATTGACAACGAGGTGGCGGTGCACATGCTGTGCAGATCCCGCAATCGACCGAAATCTGCATGACAGTTTACGAACCTGATTTCAATTTCGGTGCGCGATTTTGATTGGACTATGCATAAAAAGCCAAAATCTAACTCCATATACCAGCCTAGTTCGGCAAGTGTGGAAACTGAACTTTTATAGTCAGTTAGCTCTCTTGCCTCGGGAAGATGGACATCCTTCCACAGAGGTCTTAATTTGTATGTGATGACGATCCAATTATCATCGTGTATGCCATCGAGGAAACCTTATCTAATTCGCATTAAAAGACATCAATATTAATTAATGATTATAAAAAATAATATAGCCCATGGGGATATTGGAAAGGTAGAGGAGCAATACAAAAACTAGCTGCAACGGCTAAGGTATCTAAAGATATTTCCAAGGATTGGTTACGGGTGGCCCAGTCGTCTAAGGCGCCGCAATTCGCTGTGCAGAGTTGCGTCCCTTGGGCTCGCCAGAAACCTATGATCGTGGGTTCGAATCCCGGTTCGCCCCGATTATGTTTCTAGGTTTGTCAGCACCATACCCGTGCTCGTGGGTTTCACCGAAGTGGTAAACGTCTCAGACCTGCATCACTTCGGGCTCTCCTCCCACATTAAGCTGCCACGCCGCGATATAACTGGAATACTGTTAAAAGCGGCGTTAAACCCAACTCACTCACTCACGCACTCATCTTACCTAATACCTTTTTATTTACTGTGCTGTGCAATGAATTATCCTTTGGGTAATCGCTTGTATCATACATATCTATTTTTCAGCCATATCTGTATACACATCATAAGCTTTTAACCGTTAAAAAACAAGTTATATACACTCTCAGTATTACTTGATTGTTTGAGTATGAATAGTGAATATTTAATTTATTTCACTTTTTCAATACATACCTTCCTCTCCATATTTGCCGGGGCGGTCGGGTAGCCCAGTGGTCAAAGCGTTCGCTCGTCACGCTGAAGACCCGGGTTCGAATCCCGACATGGGTACAATGTGTGAAGCCTATTTCTGGTGTCCCCCGCCGTGATATTGCTGGAATATTGCTCAAAGCGGCGTAAAAACCAAAATCACTCACTCACACTCCATATTTGCCATATTGAGAATAAGTCGATATTGATTGTTGCTTCTAAAGATAATCGTAATATTTTTTTATTTTATTTTTTTTAATAGATTATTTTTTGTTTTGTGGGGATTAGTGTGTATTGCAGTTTCAATTATCTGTATTTCTACATTAATAGTGAAATTACTATTTGACGCTTGAAGTCACACAAATGCATCACATAAAATACACATAGCATTACATAATATTCCGTTCCACATAACAAGTCTGTCAACACATTACGCGCTCCTTTTTTTCATCAATTGGTTTTTTCTCTCCCTGGGCTTTCTTCTCACATTAAACTAATATTATACTCATATCAGTGTTCTATCCGGACCGCCTCCGTGGTCTTGTGGTAGAGCGTCCGCCCGGAGAGCGGAAGGTAGGGGTTCGATCCCCGACCGCGTCATACCAAAAGACGTTAAAAGCTGGTACTTGTTGTTACCCTGTCTGGCGCTCGGCATTGAGTGGGGTATTCATGTTAAACTGCGGCATGGTATTTCAGTGAGCTAGCGCTATAAATCGGCATCAGTCCGCACTAGTACAAGCAGCCACACAAACACACACACGTATATGCACGTCGCTATATAAGTGCAATAATCTTGGACGCGACGTTAAACCCCATTTCACCTCACCTCATATGTATTTCTGTTCACGCCAGGTCTAAAAGCCGGACAGTCAGTAGTTGTAACAACTCTTAACCGGGAAGATCTGGAAAAAGATTACAGATCGGACGCGTCCACTGAGTTTGTCCCGTACATGACGGACCCTGCAACGACAGCAGCAGACCCGGCATTCCTGGACAGAGTTCTCAGGAAGAGAATAAACTACTCCCACAACGACATCTCGTTCTCCGTTACCAGCGTCGGCGGCCTTACTATGACGGGACCACTCACCGTCAAGTTCCCCTATGACAAACATGACATGGAGAGGAAATACAAACTTCTCCATTGGAACCCTGGTAGGTTCGACAAACTTAACTTCCTCGTAGACACCTCACATTAACAAGTCTACCCAGAGAGCGGAAGGTCGTGGGTTCGATACCCGCCCCCATCAAACCAAAAGACGTCAAAAGATGGTACTTGTTGTTACCCTGTCTGGCGCTCGGCATAAGTTTGTTTGTTTGTTTGTTGTTTAACGCCGCACTAAGCAATATTCCAGCTATATGACGGCGGTCTGTAAATAATCGAGTCTGGACCAGATAATCCAGTGATTAATATCATGAGCATCGATCCACGGAATTGGGATACGATGACATGCGTCAGCGAGCCTGACCACCCGATCCCGTTAGTAGCCTTTTACGACAAGCAGAGTCACCTTTTACGGCAAGTATGGGTTGCTGAAGACCTATTCTACCCCGGATCTTTACGGGTATTAAGGAGCTAAGGCAAGGACTGGTCGGCTCGGAGTCAGTATACTGTGTCTGAGTTGGGTATTCATGTTAAACTGCGGCATGGTATCTCAGAGGGCTAGCACTATAAGATCGGTATTAGTACGGATAAGTACAAGCTGCTACACAAACACACACGCGCGTGGACGTTGCTATGTTTGTGCAATAATCTTGAACGAGACGTGAACCCCATTTCACCTCTCCTCATATATAACACTGATCACCAGTGTCACAGCAGTATCGTTTAAGTACATTTGAGATTAATGATGATCTTGGCAGACCACGACTCTGTTTCCGAAGCCCAGTGTCATTGATGGTAGCTCCCACTTGTAGACTTGGACTATTATAGGTTGACCTGTGAAGATCCGGGTTACAATAAGTCTTCAGAAACCCATGCTTGCCGTAAAATGCGACTATGCTGTCGTAAGAGGCGACTAACGGGATTGGGTGGTCAGACTCGCTGACTTGGTTGATGCATGTCATCGTATCCCAATTGCGTAGATCGATGCTCACGATGTCAATCACTGGATTGTCTAGTCCAGACTCGATTAATTACAGACCGCCGTCACATAGCTTGAATATTGCAGATTGCGGCGTTAAACAACAAATAAACAAACCGGTATGTGTTGTATTAGCCTATAAGGTATAACGTATTCTGTAATTCCTTCCAGATATCAATGGAAATGTGTAACTTGTCAATATCTAATGTATACCAGTAGGGCATATGTTCAAACACGTGAGACATGATGTCCAGAGACTGACCTGCATGCCAGACAGGGTAACAACAAGTATCATCTTTTAACGTCTTTTGGTATGACGCGGCCGGGGAACCATCCCCGGACCTTCCGCTCTCCAGGCGGACGCTCTACCACAGGATATCTCACCTTGAGGTGAACATGCCAATGCTTTTAGAAAGTGTGGCCCCTGATCCCGAGGCCGGCAGTATTGCTGGGGAGGCCGTCAAACATACTCAAACTTTCACCTCCACACCCTGGCTACTTCCACAGTGGTTGGTTGGTTTGTATATTTGTTGTTTAACGCCGCACTTACCAATATTCCAGCTATATGACGTCGGTCTGTAAATAATCGAGTCTGGACCAGACAATGCAGTGATTGACATCATGAGCATCGATCCACGCAATTGGGATCGATGACATGCATCAACCAAGTCAGCGAGCCTGACCACCCGATCCCGTTAGTCGCCTCTTACGACAAGCATGGTCGCCTTTTACGGCATTATGGGTTGCTGAAGACCTATTCTACCCCGGATCTTCACGGGTCACTTCAACAGTGGACGGAAGAACATTAAAACATGTTTCCAATTTTTTTACATAAAATGAAAATGTGGTCTCATTCTTGTTTTATTCAGATACACAACTGTGGCATGACAGCAGTCAGACATGCACATCAGAACCCAACACTGAAGCTGAGGATTCGGAATCCTCCGTCATCAAAGTAAAAGTAATATGTCCCAATAGTACTGCTTCATGAGTTAGACATGTCTGTAATGTGTCAAGCCTTTATATCACTACTGGGCTTCTACGCGAGCATGAGGACCCTTTCAGTGTCTAGTGTATTTAGTTTTGTAGGTTTTAGAGTGAGTGAGTGAGTGAGTGAGTTGGGTTAAACGCCGCTTTAACAGTATTCCAGTTATATCACGGCGTGTCAGCTTAATGTGGGAGGAAAGCCCGAAGTGATGCAGGTCTCGGACGTTTACCACTTCGGTGAAACCCTAGAGCACGTGTATGGTGCTGACAAACCTAGAAACATAATCAGGGCGAACCGGGATTCGAACCCACAATCATAGGTTGATGGCGTGCCCAAGGGACGCAACTCTGCACGGCGAATCACGGCGCCTTAGACGACTGGGCCACCCGGGCGCCCGAAGGTTTTAGAACCACTTGCACTCAACAGTTACAATATAAGATGTCATTTGACAGGACATTCCAGGGCCCTGTTCCGCAAAGCGATCTTAGCGCTAAGTAACTACCTTACTTTAACATAGGCTTACGATCGCTTTGTGAGTGAGTGAGTGAGTGAGTGAGTTTGGTTTTACGACGCTTTTAGCAATATTCCAGCAATATCACGGCGGGGGATACCAGAAATGGGCTTCACACATTGTACCCATGTCGGGAATCGAACCCGGGTCTTCGGCGTGACGAGCGAACGCTTTAACCACTAGGCTACCCGACCGCCCCGATCGCTTTGTGGACGGGGCACGGGTAATGAGTTGTAAAATCAAATTCTGGCCATGACAGGGATGAATCAGTTGTCTCAACTGTTTGGCGCCGCAAATCTCAGGTCGATTACGAAAACCAAATACCTGACCTCATAATGGCCCTTGGTGTGTCACCTCCATGCCCATGTTCTTGGTTTGATAAGGGGGTTACAACTCTATGACCTAAAAATGGATCCCTGTGACCTGCATACGAGAGAAAGGTGTCAAGCAGCAATATAACGTAAATACTGTTCTAACGTTTAATCCCAAGTTCTCCACCTATAGCACGGCATTCTTCAAAATTCCAAATTTCCCCAAAATTAAATAAGCAACCCTTAAGTCACCCAGGTTGCCCTTCCTTTTCGGACGTACCCTCCTTGGCAAAACTACTAATTGGCCTGGTGGGCTCGTGTGCGAAATACGGAAAGCGCACGTTAAAAAGCCAAACTCTCTCTCTCTAACCCCAACCCATGCTTCCGTAAAAGGCGAGTATGCTTGTCGTAAGAGGCGGCTAATGGGATCGGCTTGGTCGGGCTCGCTGTCTTGGTTGATGCATGTCATCGTATCCCAATTTGGTGAATCGATTGTCATGATGTCAATCACTGGATTGTCTGGTCCAGATTATTTACATACCGCCGTCGTTGTTTATAGCTGTAATATTGCTGAGTGCGGCGTTAAGCAACAAACAACCATCCAACTCTGATCCCAAATCACTCACTAGACATGCAATACACCTGGAAGTCTGACGTGTTTGTGTTTATGTACAGGTATGTGACACAAGGAGCGGTAACCAAGCAACGAGACGCCGGCGGTCAGCCTCTGCATCAACCTATTTCAGCCAAGCTACTCAGTTTCTCATCACTCCAGTTCTGATCAAAATACCAAACGACGGCCCACGCATTACTGGGCATTCCCTCTTGGAAATGGATGAAGATCAAGGTATATTGGAATTGGGGTATTTGGGGGTTCCGGAGTGAGATATGTCCCAAGTACCTCATGTATATCCGATTGATTGAGTATGATCCTACGTCGCATTTATCAACATTCCAGCAATACCACGGCCGGGGACACCTGAAATTGGGTTCATACATTGTACCCGTGTCGGGAATCGAAGCCGAGTGTTCGGCGTGACGAGCGAACGCTTTAACCACTAGGCTACCCGACCGCCCCCCTGTGTATCCGAAGGAGGAGGACCAAGTGTCTGCCCTGTATTATTGTTTGTCATGCCATCAACCACTGATGTCTGCTCTAATGATATTCGATTAGTTACAGAGGCCGTGATATAGTTGGAATATTACTGACTGTGTTTATACACCCCACTCTTACTCTTGGTCATCAAAGAAGTAGATGTACTGATAAGTCCTTGTTTGTGACTTTTAGCATAGATTACTGTTTCAAATACAATGATGTACAAGTTGGAGTTGTCCTGTACATGCATTCCCAAAGACCTAATATACTACTGGTTGTTGCTTCAGGCACAGTGATGTACAAGCTGGAGTTGTTCTGTACATACGTTCCCAAAGACCTAATATACTACTGGTTGTTGCTTCAGGCACAATGATGTACAAGCTGGAGTTGTTCTGTACATACGTTCCCAAAGACCTAATATACTACTGGTTGTTGCTTCAGGCACACTGATGTACAAGCTGGAGTTGTTCTGTACATACGTTCCCAAAGACCTAATATACTACTGGTTGTTGCTTCAGGCACACTGATGTACAAGCTGGAGTTGTTCTGTACATACGTTCCCAAAGACCTAATATACTACTGGTTGTTGCCTCAGGCGCAATGATGTACATGCTGGAGTTGTTCTGTACATGCGTTCCCAAAGACCTAATATACTACTGGTTGTTGCTTCAGGCACAATGCTGTACAAGCTGGAGTTGTCCTGTACATACGTTCCCAAAGACCAAATATACTACTGGTTGTTGCTTCAGGCACAGTGATGTACAAGCTGGAGTTGTCCTGTACATACGTTCCCAAAGACCAAATATACTACTGGTTGTTGCTTCAGGCACAATGATGTACATGCTGGAGTTGTCCTGTACATACGTTCCCAAAGACCTAATATACTACTGGTTGTTGCTTCAGGCACAATGATGTACAAGATTGAGTTGTTCTGTACATGCGTTCCCAAAGACCTCATATACTACTGGTTGTTGCTTCAGGCACAATGCTGTACAAGCTGGAGTTGTCCTGTACATACGTTCCCAAAGACCTAATATACTACTGGTTGTTGCTTCAGGCACAATGATGTACATGCTGGAGTTGTCCTGTACATACGTTTCCAAAGACCTAATATACTACTGGTTGTTGCTTCAGGCACAATGATGTACATGCTGGAGTTGCCCTGTACATACGTTCCCAAAGACCTAATATACTACTGGTTGTTGCTTCAGGCACAATGATGTACATGCTGGAGGCGACCGACAGCGATGGGGATGAGATCAAGTTCAGAATCAACCAATATGACATACGTGACAATCTAACCCTGTCGGAAAATGGCCTGTACGTGAAGTTTATGATTCTTAAGCAAACGTTACGCTAAACACACACACACACACACACACACACACACACACACACACACACACACACACACACAACACAAAACACAAAACAACAACCACACATACACAATCTTGTGTTTACTATTCATGTTCTGATGAATCTTAACATACTACTTATTTCAGATCTTATTTGTACTGATATTAATATATAGGCATGAAAGTGTGTATGTACAAAGGTCTAGATTCTAAAAAATATAATGAATCTGGACAAAACAAAAGACACTGATTATTTTAAAAGTTGTCATGTTTGTTTCAGACTGAGGTACACCCCTGCGCCTGACTTTAATGGTGTTGTGGAGTTGGGCGTTGTGCTGTATGAAGTCCCCATAGAAGGTGTTCCCCCAAGTGAAGTCACCGTCAACGTCACCATCATCGTTGTATCCGTCGCCGATGCTCCCACCGCCTTCGCTGCCAGTGACAACAGAAATATCCTTAACCCAGACCCAACGGAACCAATACTGGTAACAGGGATTAGATTGTTAATCTGCCCTATGTGATCGAAATAAAACACACAGTGAGTGAGTGAGTTGGGTTTAACTCCGCTTTTAACAGTATTCGAGTTATATCACGGTGTGTTAATGTGGGAGGAAAGCCCGAAGTGATGCAGGTCTAAGACGTTTTGGTGAAACCATGGCCACGAGCACGGGTATGGTGCTGACAAACCTAGAAACATAATCGGGGCGAACCGGGATTGGAACCCACAATCATAGGTTTCTGGCGTGCCCAACGGACGCAACTCTGCATAACGAATCGCGGCGCCTTAGACGACTGGTCCACCCGTGCCCCCTAAAACACTAAAAGCAATATGAGATTGAAACCACATAAGTTAATTAATGAAGTAGCTTACACCATGCACATCTCTCGAACATCTGCTTTAGGAACTGGGAAGTCTTGTCGTAAGATGAGACTTAATGCGGTGGGCGGTCAGTTTGGGTGACTTAGTGTCCTCGTACCACGTCGTGTGTATTCCTCAGCAACCCTTGCTTGCCGTAAAAGACGACTGTGTTTGTCGACGCGGCTAACGGGATCCGGTGGTCAGACTCGCTGACTTGGTTGATGCATGTCATCGTATCCCAATTTCGTTGATCGATGTTCCTGATATCCGACTCTGGATTGTCTGGTCCAGACTTGATTATTTACAGATCGCCGACATATAGCTGGAATATTGCTGAGTGCGGCGTTAAACGCACAGACAAGCAAGCAACATGTATTATAAAAATAACACACCATTTATAGTGGGCTGCATTTCCACACTGCATGCTCAAAGCGTTACACTTACCCAGTCAGTGTTTACTCGATTTCAATCTCAGCTCCCTAGGGAGTATACAACCCAAGCGCTAGAAGTTTAACAGTAACATTACCATCTCATCCTACCGGGTACCCACTCACTGTTGAGTGAACAGAGGCACATTTTGAACAAAGTCACTTGCCCAAGGAGACACCTTGTGCAACATGTGCTTCAGTGTGGGGTGGGACCCAACCCCTAGAAACTCACAGGAGTCAATCGGTCACCCATCCAAGTACTGTCGGGGACGAACGTTGCAATTGAAAATACTTCACTAATTATACCCTCCTAAACTATTCAGTGGATTCATCTCAAACTTAGTACATGTAATCTGTGTCATATGAAGGGGTGCAGATAAAAGAAAAAAAATGATTTTATTAATTTTCCATTTTTTGAATGAAGTTTTCGAAAAAAACCTAACGTCCGTCCGAAAACATTGTCCGCGCGATTTCTCTTAAACTATTCAGTGGATTCATCTCAAACTTAGTACATATAATCTGTGTCATATGAAGGGTTGCAGCCAAAAGAAAAAAATTGATTTGATTAATTTTCCATTTTTTTATGAATTTTTCAAACCCTAACCCTATCCCTCGCTATTTAATTTGAAACTACTGACACACTAGGCGGGTCGGGGGTATTAGTGAGCCACGCTCACTTGCTTTCTTGTTTACTAATGTTTACGATGTAAATATATTTGCCAAATCATATATAAGTGTTAGGTCACCGTTGTGATGTGAATCCTATTCAAAGACATTCTTACATACACGCAATGAGCGAGGAGTTAAATGCTGCACACAATCGCTGGGCGAAATGTGATGAACTTGTTCCTCTATTTTAGACCTTGTTGGAGCAAGAGAGAGTGAACGACACCTCCCCGACGGTGTACACGTGGGTGTTTGGAGCTTACGACGTTGACGACGGTGACAATATGACGTTGTACTTCACTCAACCTGAACACGGATATCTCTCGGTTGGCGATGTCGTAACCACGTCGCCTGATTGTTCTGGCAGTCATTCGGTGGGTTTACTAGCAGATCATCCTGCACACATGGGTATCTCAAATCAAAGCACGTGGGGGCCTCGGTTAGAAAAGATCTCCAAAATCCCATGTGTTGTCGCAACACGCGACTATATTTGATCCATTGGTCAGAACTGGGCCCACATGCACAAAACGATCTTAGCGCTTAGACTATTGTAAGCCTATGTTAAAGTATGGGAGTTAAGATCATCTTAGCGCTAAGATCGCTTTGCGCAAGTGGGCCCTGGTGACCTGGTGACTCTCATATCCCGACGGCGTTATCGTGCTCATAATATCAATCACTGGTTTGTCTGGCTCAGACTGAACTATGTTCATGCCGCCGAGATATATCTGGAATATTTTTTTAAACAGTAACCAAACATCTGCGATATATACCCTGATTTACTCCCAGTTGGCAGACGTGCCAATCACCAGACAGGTCAGTGAAGTGTGATCGGTATCACGCCTAGTCTTACCGGACCTACTTAATTAATGGGTATCTCCCAACTGTGAGACCCGTGAAGATCCGGGGTAGAATAGGTCTTCAGCAACCCATGCTTTCCGTAAAAGGTGACTATGCTTGTCGTAAAAGGCGACTAACGGGATCGGGTGGTCAGGCTCGCTCACTTGGTTGATGCATGTCATCGTATCCCAATTGCGTGGATCGATGCTCATGATATTAATCACTGGATTGTCTGGTCCAGACTCGATTATTTACAGACCGCCGTCATATAGGTGGAATATTGTTAAGTGCGGCGTTAAACAACAAACCAACCAACCAACCCAACTGTGACCAGTGTATGATTTGGTTTGGTTTGGTTTGATGTTTTACGCCGCACTCAGCAATAGTCCAGCTATATGACGACGGCCTGTACATAATTGAGTCTGGACCTGACTATCCAGTGATTGATATCATGAGCATCGATGCACGCAATTGGATTGATTATGATTGTTGTGTTTGATCACTGCCTTGTTGCTTGTGTTCTCAAACAGGTACTATCCCTATGGCAAATATAGTTTGTAAACCCTCTGTAAAATCGATGCATATGAATCGTAATTGCACTGGCAACAATATTTGTTTATCTTGGGTCATTGCACTGCGCGTGGTGAACAGGTCCAGGTGCGACCAATACTTTGCATTGAGTAAATTGAATAACTGATCTTCTGTCATATATGAGGAGTAGGTATGTTTAATACATAATTAAATCACCAATTATTGTATTCAGCATCATTGGATATGTCTCAGGAACGAGACACACCCACTAATTCCTTATCTTATTCGCTCCCCAGAGTGACCTCCCTTGTTCAGTCGTCACAACAGGCCACGGCGCAGACTCAGTAAACTGGATCTACAGGATCTTCCGGTACGAGCCGGATACAGAATTCTACGGCTTTGACGAGACCCGGATCTACGTACAGGATCAGACAGGGCTATACTCGGACGTCATCACTCTCAAGTTTGCTGTCATGGAGCAGCCGTGTCAGAACGAGGCTAAGTGCAAGAGTATGTCTACACCTTATGTTCTGTCTCAACCATGTAGTGTGTACTTCCAAACAAATGATGGGAAATTGTATTGATTTATATATATGCATCTACGGTAAAATTAGTAATGGGATAAGAAGTGAAAACAACACAGTTACCTCTTGCCATGTAGGGCTCAACTGTAATTCAGCTCACTGAATGCTGGTTGGTTGGTTACTGGTTGGTTGGTTTGTTTGTTGCTTAACGCCGTACTGAGCAATATTCCAGCTGTATGACGGCGGCCTGTAAATAATCGAGTCTGAACCAGACAATCCAGTGATTGATATCATGAGTATCGATCCACGCAATTCGGATCGATGACATGTTTCAACCAAGTCAGCGAGCCTGACCACCCGATCCCGTTTGTCCCCTTTTACGACAAGCATAGTAAACCTTTTACGGCAAGCATGGGTTGCTGAAGACCTATTCTACCCCGGAATCTTCACGGGGCTCACTGAATGTACTCCTGTATGGTAGCATATATGTTTATTTCATTTCGAAATTTCTCGTTCTTGCAATAATATATTTTATTTTTTCTCTAACTCGTTTCGATAATATTTTCGTAATTTCCATTATTTTCTCGTTATTTCAAGTTTATTTCAAAAGCTCGAAATTTCGAGAAAATAACTGAAACAAATAGAAAAAATTAAAATTTCGAGAAAATAATTTAAATAACGATACATTTCGATTTGAAAAAACCCATTAATGTTACTAAAGTGACACCATTTGTTTTTCGTAATATAGCCGGTGTCTCCACCTATGTTATGACGCTTATACTGCTAGAAACAGAATGAAATTTACACCTTTACTTACTAGAACATGTAAAACATTTGACAAGGAAAGGCAGTGGCCTACTCAATAAACCATACAATACAATTGAGTTGTCGTCCTCAAATATAACAACATATGTCTGACTGACAACTTGTATTTTAAACAGGTAAAAACCCTGACAAGTACACGTGCACCGACTACCGTCGAGCGGAGGGATTCCACAAGTACTACGTCTGTGACTGCGCCCCGGGCTGGACGAACACCAACTGTGACCTTGATATCAATGAATGCTTAACCTCCCCCTGTGTCTGGCCCTACATGTGCCACGACCGTATCGGAAGCTATGACTGCGCATGCCCAGAAAGTGACCCTAATTGTGATGGCTTGGAGGCGTGGATGATTGGACTGGTCGTGCTAACGCTGGTACTCCTAGCGGTCATCTCTTTCCTGGCCTGGTATTCCTTCATGGTCAAAAGAGGGTCAGTTATGCATGATATGTTTGTTTGTTTGTTTGTTGTTTAACGCCGCAGTCAGTAATATTCAAGCTATATGACGGCTACTACTATATGGCGGCGGTCTGTAATAATCGAGACTGGACCAGACAATCCAGTGATTGATCAATCTCATTAAAATCAGACCTTAGTTCTCGCTACTGCTAAACAAAGATCTGAAGACATCCCATTAGATAACGACATTTCATCCAACAAATCAGAGCGTCACTTACCAGATTATGAAATTGACAGTCGGAATGTGATTTCTAATCATGCAACCTCGAAAACTTTAACACGGGGTATTCCGCAAGATAGTTACGGGTTTAACGACTGAATCCGTACCAACTAGACCATCTATTAGCCATTCCAGAATGTTTTTTTGTTCAGGTTTCAAATTTGTAATCGAGAATTTGTCAAAATATGTTTCGAAGCGTAGTCGCCAATTTTAAATTAGTGCCGTAAAGCACGAGAAAGCTGCCTTCTGATTGGTCATTCCATTGGTCGGTCAAAGTTCGCCCAAGATCGGTCTGACGTGACCCGTAATGGGATGTCCTCAGATCTTTGTTAAGCTGTAGCGAGAACTAAGATCTGATTTTAATGAGATTGGTGATTGATACAATCAAATTTAAACAATAAGATGCACTGCCATATAACATTACTAACTGGAATTACCAACTCGTAGATGTAGTTCATGTGTTACTTCGGTGGCGTTGATCGTTCCTCACATTCGACCATGGGTGATATTCCGAAACTCACATGATATTAATAGGCACCATTCGCTGTGCAGAGTTGCGTCCCTTGGGCACGCCAGAAACCTATAATTGTGGGTTGGAATCCCGGTTCGCCGGATTATGTTTCTAGGTTTGTCAGCACCATACCCGTGCTCGTGGGTTTCACCGAAGTGGTAAACGTCTGAGACCTGCATCATGATCACTTCGGGCTTTCCTCCCACATTAAGCTGACACGCCGGGATATAACTGGAATAATGTTAAAAGCGGCGTTAAACTCACTCACTCACTCACTCACTCACTCACTCACTCACTCACTCACTCACTCACTCACTCACAGGTACCCCTCCAACTGTAACTTATAGGTACCCCTCCAACTGTAACCCCCTAAAATTGATTGCCTCCTAACAGCACATTATTATTTCAAAACACTCGGCATGTCTGGTGATCTATTTATTCGTTTGGTCAAACCCGTGGACAAATTATAATTTCCGCATTTTTGAGGATAATACTGTTTTCAGATATATCCCAGGCCAGATAGATTGGCCAGGTCAGTTTGTAAGTCCCTGCAGGGACATGAACATCTTACACATTACACTGACAATCAGAGATTAAATAAATCACAAATATATTGTGTTGCAGACGTCTCAAGTGGGCGACGTTGTGGCGGCGCATTGCAGGGGAAGCTCCAGACGTGTCCGAAACTAAAACAGCATTCGTCAACTCTGCCTGTGATGAGGTGAGTCCTCAGGTGACATATTGCTCTTCAGCTGTTAGGTGTAAGAGTTTATGGTCTTACAGTCCCGTGCTTGTAAATGGCGACTAATGGGATCGGGTGGTCAGGCTACCTGACTTGGTTGATGCATGTCATCGTATTCCAATGATCGATGCTCATGGTGTCAATCACTGGACTGTCTGGTCCAGACTCGATTATTACAGACAGGCCATATACTAGTAGCTAGAATATTGCTGAGTGCGGCGTTAAACAACAAACAAACTTGTCTCCTTCATTGAACTCCCTCAAAACGATTACTTCAAGAAGAAAGTAAAATCCGTGTATGACTACTTCTGTTGTCAATTCCATATCTAGATGTTTCGAATCCATACGGGTACGCTAGGCGTACAATAAATTTGTTGAGAACAGGTGATGTATTGGAGCACGAAAACCGGGGGGCTTTTTCTGGGCCAAACACGCTGCAGCAATTCCAAGTTGCTAATAACCATTTCCTATCAATGAAGTAAGCTCATGTTTTAACATCTGTTTCAAGTTAAACTCCCGTACATCCAATATTACATTTTGTAATCGGCCATTCTGGCCAGGCAGGTGTAGCCATACTTATAGGTACGTCTACCTGTGATAGCAGGCAGCTATCGGCACCTATGTATGTCAGAATACCTAACGTGAAGATACATTGCCTTCATGGTTTCAATGAAGTCTATCATTGTTTCCTGATGCTTATAGTGTCTGTTTGTTGTTTAACGCCGCACCCAGCATTATTCGAGCTGTATGACGGCGGTCTGTAAATAATCGAGACTGGACCAGACAATCCAGTAATTGACATCATGAGCATCGACCCACGCAATAGCGACATGACATGCATTAACCAAGTCAGCGAGCCTGACTACCCGATCCTGTAAGTGGCCTCTTACAACAAGTATGGGTTTCTGAAGACCGATTCTAACCTCACGGGTCCTACTTGAGAGTGACAGACGTGTGTTACTGCATGTGTATTGAAGCATGTTTCTCCCGTGTAGGTTGAGCACACGCGTGGAACCGTGAACACGTCGAAGTCTGACTCGTCACATCCGGTTAAGAAACACGCTTCCGGGGCCAAGAAGAACAAGGTGTCAACCAGTGTGGGTGACTCTGCCCAACTCAAATATTCCGTGGAGGTGAGTATTGTAGACGTTTACCCTAATTCATTAAACTTACATTTCCTTTATTCAACGAATTCGAGTGAGTGAGTGAGTTTGTAACACTGTTTGTGTGATAGCACGGTCTGACAGTGTGGCGAAAGCCCGAAGTCATGCAGGTCCAAGATGTTTACCACTTCGTGAAACCCACGAGCATGGGTACGGTGCTGACAAAACAAGAAACGTAATCAATGCGTGTATGACATTCTAACGCGTGTCTGCCTTTAACGACTTGACCATGCGTGCCCCGACCAAGTCGACTTCCACTTCCCCCATGTACGCTTTTACCCCACGTGTACTCGACGGAGGCGACCGTGATTCCACAGATTGTGTAGTTTGATGGATGCCGTGGTTTCCCTGTGTAATCTGAAAAAATGCAATTTGTACAGGCTTATCCCTTGACCTTCCTACCACATTCAGCTGATGTTTGGTTGGTTGGTTGTTTGGTTGGTTTGTAGTTTAACGCCGCACTCAGCAATATTCCAGCTACTAGTATATGATCTGTCTGTAATAATCGAGTCCTGACCAGACAATCCAGTGTTTAATATAATGATCATCGATCCACGCAATTGGGATCGATGACATTCATCAACACAGTCAGCGAGCCTGTCGTGACCTCCCGATCCCGTTAGTCGCCTTTTACGACAAGCATAGTCACCTTTTACAGTAAGCATGGGTTGCTGAAGCCCTTTTCTACACCAGAATCTTCAGCTGATGGACCTTATAATTATTATGTCTGAAACACTTGTAATTAAGTAGTAAGCGACGAATGGGGTTGTCAATCGTACAACAAAAACACTGCAATGTTTCATTGTAGGATAAACACCGAGACATTTATTTCTTACATGAGACACCAACGCTATGTACAGCCTCTTTAAGGAGGTTGATAAAACAGTACAAGCTTTAAACATTTTTACCCAAATATTAATAATGATCACTCCCTGAATAGAATCCGACCTCGGAAATGTCGGACAAGTTTTGATATTTCCTGCATATTCTCACAATTATCAAGGCAATCAGCTGTACCTTTTCTCTTAATTCCGATTGTCATATTTCTCACTCTTTTAAATGCGGATGTTCGGCCACTGTGTTTATCTGCGTATCCCTGCTACATCTATGGGAAACAACTTACTAGACACTCCCCTCTCAAAAATAACGTCGTCCAACATGTGACGTAATCACGTTGTGAGCGCATAATCAAATCTCCAGAATTGACGTCATGATAGAACAATGTTTTAAGACGATATTAACAACGCTTCGTTCTTCATTGTTCTTTGCGATTTATCGCGCAGCTATCTTATAGGGGATGGGGAGGTCGGGTAGCCTAGTGGTTAAAGCGTTCGCTCGTCACGCAGAAGACCTGGGTTCGATTCCCGACATGGGTACAAAGTTTGAAGCCCATTTCTGGTGTCCCCCGCCGTGATATCGCTGGAATATTGCTAAAAGCGGCGTAAAACCATACTCACTCACTCACTCTTATAGGGGATATTTCATGTGTCTCGTGAAATATCATGTTTCTCTCACCGTATGATCGGGGAAAGGAGATATTTTCACGAGTAGCGTAGCGAGACAAACATGATATTTCACGAGACACATGGAATATCCTATTCATAATATACTTTTTGTGTAGGTGTCTACCGGAAAGTTATATTATTATATGTTGTTTTTTTAAAGTTTACACGATATACGGCATTTACATTGGACAAAATTTGACGTGCATACGTTTTTCTTGAGACCGTATTCTTGAAATGACGTAAACACTGACGAACTACTTCCACATTCCTGGGGAAACCCATAGGAATTCCCGAGCACGAATACGTACAGAAGCGTTCTTTCTGATCATTTAGACCCTTTAATCTTGAACTCAGCATTTTAGTATACTCTATCAAGGTTCATACTCCAATGAAGTCACACAAAGTGAAAGTCAATTCTTAATTATTACAAATGTAAAACCTAGAAACGTAAATTTTCCCTACTTAACACACAGGGACGGTTCGCCATCCATTATATTTGCGACTTAAAAGGTAGTTTCGTGTTTACACAATCTTAAACAATATAAACAAAAGAAGCAAAGTATATTTAGGGTCATGAATATATTTTATCATACATGTAGATATGATTTTGTACAACAAAATCAACTTTAACAAAAAATATTCTTGAAAAATAGGAGACCGCTGTTATTAGCGAAGGAATACACGCTGTTCAAGCAACAAAAATGGTGCTTTGCAAAACGAACAGTGTCGATTGATGAGTTAAATGAGAAATTAACAGTTTACAACGATGCATTTTCGAGTGAATAGCAAACGGCAAGAAGTGATGCTAACTCCATAAATGACCATCTGCCATTATTTTGCCTTGTCAATGTGGAACTATTGTAAAAGGGCGTCAACTGTTTGTGTACGGGCGCGACACTTACGATAAAGGGAGACAATTTAATGGGAGGTAACTCTTGTATGACAATAGTTTCGTCAAAGTGTTATGGAAATATCACTTTTCTCAACTTCAGAAAACTCAGTCTTTCACACTGAAGTATATAATAAACCATTAAACCAATGCACCACGTCAATTATGTATACATTTACAGGGGAAAAGCAGCCGTCCAAGCACTCCAAGAGAAATAACCGTTCAGCCTAAATCAAGCCACGCCTCTCAAGACTGGACACCAACAACACCGCAACTGACGGAGCCGGAGAGGTCAATGACGCCAGTGGAGCAGTGTGACGAGCGGCCTGGGAGCGGTTACTCTCTGCTCAGATCGACGCTCCAGAGGCGAGAGGGCAGCGTTACGTTAACGGACAAACCAAGCCACGACAGCGACCTGTAACTGAACAAAAGTCTCCTGCACTTTGCTTGTTTAGTAAACAGCACGAAGTACATACATTGAACTGGACGTTCAACCCTACAACGATGTCAAAAGATTTGACGTTAATTGTGTTACATACCCTATAAAAAAATAATATGTTAACATCTGTTAAATTATTTTTTAGGTAATACTTGTTCACCGATTGTTTTTCTTGGCAGTACTAGAAACTTTACACATTCACATACTAGACTAAATGAACAATATTTCAGAATAATAAGTTTCTTGTCCATTTATGTCTTTCAGATAATGCAAGTTATATCCTACAGTTTATCTAATCCTGCAATGTATGTACCATGTCTGTGTGTGCCTGTCATCACTCGTTCCGTGAAAATAAATATGCTCAAGTAATTGGCTGTTAATTTGTTTTGAACGCCGCATTCAGCATATTCCAGCTTTATGACGTCATTCTGTAAATAATCGAATCTGAATCAGACAAAACAGTGATTGACATATGGGTATTTCTCTACGCAAATTGGGATACGATGAGTGAGTGACCGAGTATGGTTTTATCCCGTTTTTAGCAATATTCGAGCAATACCACGGCGAATGGGCTTCACACATTGTACCCATGTCGTGAATCGAACCCGGGTCTTCGGCGTGACGAGCGAACGCTTTAACCACCAGGCGTCAGACCACCCGATCTTACGACAAGCATGGGCATTTGCTGTCTGCCGTGGCAATCATTCGTCAACACTCGCCCCTTTCCGTAACCTGCAAGAAGACTCGTCCCCCTATCGATGAATGTTATGTGCGAAAATACGACAAACCAATCAGAATGCGCGTATGATTTCAAGTACTTCGTCAAAGAATCCCTCAGAAATAATTTTGATTTTACATATGTCTTGCATCTAAAAATATACCCAAGACACATTTAAATGTGTTCAATCATACTGTATAATTCCGCAAGTCCCGATGTGCTTTAAATTGCATCTGAAATATATATAATATATGGGGAAATATATGTGAACCATTACGCAACGAATTGACAATTCTTTTAGGTATGCCCGTTTGCGCTAAGACGGAACCCGGTCGCAAAAATGGCTACGAGAGGGGCACGAGTCGCTATTCGGCTTGTCCCGGAATAACACGAGTTGGTCACGAATGCGATAGGGGGACGAGTCTTCTTGCAGGTTACGGAAAGGGGCGAGTGGTGACGAATGGAGAGGGGCACGAGTCGCCATTCGGCTTGTTCCGGAATAACACGAGTTGGTCACGAATGCCGTGGCAATGTGATCATGACTGAGGAAATCATCAGTGCACCGCTCTGTCTACTCGGTTACTGCCTTGATTTCAAATCAAGATATCGAGTTGGGCGGGTGTATGTCCGGATCCCTTGAAGATAATATGAAGGTAATGAGTCCCATCTATGGGTAGTATAACAATTAGCCATAATATTCCTACCAATACGCAAACAACCTGTCCGTTTTCATAAGAACATGTGCGTCAAACCTCCATATATGACGACGTGCCTGTCTCTACACCTGGAAAATATTCATCACTGTTTTGAATAACTTTCCATATAATAGTTATTGGGGGAAATATTATCCTTCTTTAATGCCATTAAAAAACACATTTATGATTGTTTATAAGGTGACATGCTCATCCTGAAAAGAAGAAACCGAAATCGACTATTTAATGAGATGCAATTATTATCTTTGTTTGTTTGTTGTTTAACGCCGCAATAAGCAATATTCAAGCTATATGACGGCGGTCTGTAAATTATCGAGTCTGGACCAGACAATCCAGTGATTGATAGCATGAGCATATATCCACGCAATGGGGATACGATGACATGCATCAACCAAGTCAGCGAGCCTGGCCACCCGATCCCGTTAGTCGCCTCTTACGACTAGCATAGTCGCCTTTTTATGGCAAGCATGGGTTGCTGAAAACCTATTCTACCCCGGAATCTTCACGGGCTAAGGCCAGAAGTAGTCAGGGTGGGTTATCGCAAAACAGGTTCGATACAGGCTCGGCCCCTGCTAATGCCCCTCTGCCCTGGGTTACGTCATCAGTCAAGACCATGTAGTCGGTGTTTATCCTTTACTTATAGCCGACATTTCTCCGGCATTCTCGACCAAACGCGCTCGTCAGCGCTCCTCGAAATACCTCGTAATACAGTGTACACCAGAAAGTCCATTTAGCTAATTATGTAACTACATATAAACGCTAACTGTATACTGTACATGCGAAAACTGCTGTATATATATCCTACTACAGTTCAAATCAAGGTCGGGCAGTCGGGTAGCCTAGTGGTTAAAGCGTTCGCTCGTCACGCCGAAAACCCGGGATCTATTTCAGACATGGGTACAATGTGTGAAGCCCATTTCTAGTGTCCTCCGCCGTGATATTGCTGGATATTGCTAAAAGCAGCGTAAAACCACACTCACTCACTCACTCACTCACTCACTCAAATCAAGGTAGGGGCGGTTGGATAGTCTAGTGGTTACAGCGTTGTCTCATCCCCGGGTTCGATTCCCGACATGGGTACAATGTGTGAAGCCCATTTCTCGTGTCCCCCGCCGTGATATTGCTAGAATATTGTTAAAATGGCGTTAAACCATATTCAAGGTAAAATTATAAATACTTGGTCTTCAGCAACCCGTGCTTGTCGTAAACGGCGACAGTGCTTCTCGTAACAGGCGACTGTGTTTGTCGTAAACAGGCGACTATGCTTGTCGTAACAGTGAGTGAGTGAATATGGTTTTACGCCGCTTTTAGCAATATTCCAGCAATATCACGGCGGGGGACACCAGAAATGGGCTTCACACATTGTACCCATGTCGGGAATCGAACCCGGGTCTTCGGCGTGACGAGCGAACGCTTTAACCACTAGGCTACCCGACCGCCCCTTGTCGTAACTGGCGACTAAAGGAATCGGGTGGTCAGGTTCGCTGATTTGGTTGATGCATGTCATCGTATCCCAATTGTGTAGATACATGCTCAGGATGTCAATCACTGAATTTGATTGTCCAGACTCGATTTTTTACATACCGCCGTCATTTAACTGGATTAAATTACAAACGAACAACCTATGGCTGTATCTTAATATTTCCATTTGGTTTACAAGGTGACCGTATCTAAAAAATGGATTCGTACCAAATAACAAATTTCAGTTAACACGTAAACGACGAGATTTGAAATTGTACGTTACTGTTACCAACAACAAAAGTCGTCATATCCTGCATCAAGAGGACCGCCTCCGTGGTCTAGTGGTAGAGCGTCCGCCCGGAGAGCGGAAGGTCCGGGATTCGATCCCCGACCGCGTCATACCAAAAAGACGTTAAAAGATGGTACTTGTTGTTACTCTGTCTGGCGCTCGGCATTAAGGGGCTAAAACAAGGACTGGTCGGCTCGGAGTCAGTATACTGTGTCTGAGTGGGGAATTCATGTTAAACTGCGGCATGGTATCTCAGTGAGCTAGATATATGAATCGGCATCAATCCGGACTGGTACAAGCAGCCACACAAAAAAACACACACACGTACATGCACGTCGCTATATAAGTGCAATAATCTTGGACGCGACGTTAAACCCCATCTCGCCACCAAACCATGCATCAGAAAATTATCTGCGATGTCGGCGAGTCCCTGACGGTCCGTGTCGCCCGTGCAAACTAACCTACCACGTGCAACTCATTTCCTGCGGTTGTGATGTGACCTGACATTTGATTGACAGCGCATGTTGTTGTGTACACTCGTACGTCCATTCAACAACTAAGACTTGTCAAACCAGCTGGTACACGATTCAACAAATAATCCCACACATTTTGTGTTTTACTAATTACACATTGTCACCTAGTATCAACAGTCTAATTAGTCAATAACCTGCCACATCTCGTCAAGTTCTTGACATAACACCGAGTAGTCCCGACAAACGCCAGCCTGTCTATTGTGTCAGAAAAAACACGCTACTTTTTTCCATCCTCGGATAAAGGTAGCTTTACCTGTTTTAAAGCAGAAGAGTGCCGGTTCCGATGCCTGAAAGCAACATCAATATGGCTTTGACACTTAACAGCTTGCAAAAAGTCGTTAACGCTTCAGTGACTGCCATATTTTCTTCGGTTTCATTATCAGAAGATTCTGAGTTAGACAGTAATTCTGTGAAAATTACTTCCTGAACCCTGAAGATCAGCAGCCCATGCTTGCCGTAAAATGCGACAATGCGTGTCGAAGGAGGCGACAAACGGGATCGGGTGGTCAGGCTCGCTGACTTGGTTGATGCATGTCATCGATCCAAATTGCGTTGATCGATGCTTATGATATCAATCACTTGATTGTCTGGTCCAGACTCGATATATCTTGCAGACCGCCGTCATGTAGCTGAAATATTGCTGAGTGCGGCGTTAAACAACAAACCAACCAACCAAAAGCTTCCGGAACCAGAAGACATTGTGCATCTGGAACCGAAAGATCAAACCGGCAAAACGTACAGCTTTAACAACTACTGGTTTATTGCAAGTTTTGTTTGTTGTTTTGGCCGAACTCACTAATCCAGATTCGATTATTTTCAGACCAGCGTCATTTCTCTATAATATTGCTGAGTGCGGCGTTAAACAAAGGAATAAACACACAGTTATCTACATGTTATCTATTATGGTTGTTGTCAATGTTAATCTGCCGCTTATCACAACACGTCATTCATATATACTTCTTATCACTTGGTTGTTGTCACTCCAGCTTGATAAGGGGGCACGGGTGGCCCAGTTGTCCAAGGCGCCGCGATTAACTTTGCAGAGTTGCGTTCCTTAGGCACGCTAGAAACCTATGATTGTGGGTTCGAATACCGGTTCGCCCCGATTTTGTTTCTAGGTTTGTCAGCACCATACCCGTGCTCGTGGGTTTCACCGAAGTGGTAAACGTCTGAGACCTGCATCAATTCGGGCGTTCCTCCAACATCAAGCTGACACGCCGCGATATAGCTGGAATGCTGTTAAAAGCGACGTTTAATCCAAGTCACTCCAGCTTGTAAGAATCTTCATCGAAACGTCGCTATATGCAATAAACCAGAAGATGTTGTCTATGAAGTTGAACGTTTTTCTTACTTTTTTTGCACAGTTCTTGAATGCCAATCAAAAACAGAGGGCAGAATATGCTCCTAATTTCGTGAACAAAGGTGACGGTCTCGTACCTGTACCTGGGACACGGGTACTGTGTAGTTGGGGTATACGTTAATCTGGTACAGTAGGTACTGCAGCATACTGCAATGTGAACCAGTATCCAAGAAGAATACAGGAAGCACTGTGGCTAAAGGAAATAATCTATGACAAACCACTGTCCACAAGAGAGTATAACAAGCGGGATGACTTCAACTTTCAAAGGGGGCGGTCGGGTAGCCTAGTGGTTAAA